TTTTCGATAACTTTCTGGGCTTTTCCTTCTCTCTCTATCGGCTCTATCGAAAACCCTAGATTTGTTCTGCAAAATGGTCTCTGAAAAATCACTTCTTTTCTTCTTTGGAGCATTAGATCGGGTGTTTTCTTCAATGGGTAGATCGACCCAGATCTAACCAAACTGAAATTACCGAACTTTTCGTGTTCTTGTTCTTGTGCTTGTCTTCCTATTGTTTAAAGTCTGAATCTTTTCAGTGAGGTGAGTTATGATTTTGGGAACAAACTGAATCTGACAGAAGAGAGTGAGCACACAAAGGCACTTGCATGTTTATGCATTTGCTTCTCTTGCGTGCTCACTCCTCTTTCTGTCAGATTCCGACACCGGATTCTCGTTTCCTCGGTTTTTGTCCCGATCTCTCTCTCTCTGTTCTTGCAATTTGTTTTTATGTTCTTCGTTTGATTTGAATGCTTATATCGTTTGTAGATTTGGTTAAGCTATCTGCATCCGGTCCTTCTGCGTTATATTTCATGAGAATAATAGTATCTGAGAAGCTTAAATCTATGACTCTAAGGCATGGCTTTAACCTTGCAGGTTCACGATGAAATTGGCATGGGACCATTAAACGTTAAACTAGTTTTATTAGGCTGGTCCTAACCCTTTTGTGAGTCTATAATTTCTCGATATTCATGTAATATTATATGCTTTCTTCACCACTCTTTTAACCCGATTTGCTTTGATTCAAATATATTTTCCTTGGCTCATGTGATATTGTCTCATGTGTAGGCATGAATCTTTCAAGCTCATGATCTTCGCACTTTGAATGGGTGGTGTCTTTTCTGATTATTTATTAATGTTACATGTCGATTCCATGATGTATCTAATTATAAGTTTCTTATTGACATTGAAAAGTGTCCATCTTTGATTTCATGTGATCACGTTTAAGGATGCATGTGAATGAATCTTGTGAGAATATTCTTAGAAAACGCGTGTTCTTATAGCATCTCAATCACCATAACATATACAGACATCTTGCATGCCTACACATGCCCATGTCATGTGTGCATGTTTGTATGTTCTTGAATCATGTAGTATATGTTTTTTCTTTGGTTCCTTACAAAGCTATATACATTTATGTAGTATATGTCATTCACAATGTTAGTTAGCAGTTTTTTTGGTGTCATGAAATCAAACAAGAATTTGGTTCTCTCTAGTTTATATTTTCTTGTGATTTTTGCATATTTTTCATACGTATACATAAATGATATTCTTTTTCCGTGTGTAGATGTTTTTCAAAGACGTTTAATCCAATGAATGTGAGTGAAATTGGTTGTGTTATCAAATGAATGAGATTTGCATATTTGTTATACATGTATATAACTTTATCATAAATGGTAAGGTTCTCTCATACAAACCTTATCATTCAACATATCTTAACTTTGTGGTATTGCTAATTTCTATATAATTTACATATGTAGATGTAATATATAGGTGTACTGTTTGCTTGTGACTTCTATATATTATTAACTGTATATGTTTTCAAATTCTGAAATTCGAGGCCGGTATGTGTGGACATGTTCCGAAATAAACTTTGGGTCAAGGCGATATTAATTGATGTTGTATGTGCACTTGTTGTAATTTCCTTGTTTTGGCTTCGTTTGTTCCTGTTTATTTCTTGGCAACTTATAAAGTGATTGTGCAAATCACCCAAAGTGTTCACACTATGTCTTTGGTCCTTAAAGAGTTGTCATGTCGTTGAATTGCCGCGTGCATGCTGCTTTGCCTTGCGTTGGGGAAGCCTTATATGAATTGGGTTCGGTACTTGTGATGTATATATGTGATGGTTGAGGGAGCAAGGGTGTATCTTGAATTGATTCGTTATAATATGGAAGGAGAATAGATGACATCTATTTTTGTTCAAGAGTTTGATGTTAAATGATTCAACTTTGCCAATTTGGACCGATATTTGATTCTTGATATTGTTACATTTTGTAGAATACTACTTTCTTTCCCTCTTTTTGAATCGAGATGGCCAACATCATTGGCAAACACATGATATACGTATGCGTGTACATACGTATGTGTACTTTTGATTCCCACCTTGAATCTTGCATCGGTTGTGTAATAGGTGAGTTAGTTCGGTATGGACCCCCTTGTCTATTTCTTCAATTTATGCCAAGTCATTTTGAATCGAAGTCTTATTACGCTTTCTTTCATCGATATACATATACATATACTTATACATATGTATTAATTAATTCCAATTATAATAAGATTTCGATATATATGGATATGAATGTGCTTCCGATCAATGGTAACCGTGTAATTAGTATTTGCGACGTACGGCGTTCAAATTCTAATACGATGTACGTAAATATATATTTAATAATAAAGATATTTTATTTTTTTATATCTTTGAATAAGATATACTTTGTTTTTATTCATCCATACAAATTTAAGTTCCATTTCAGACTTACTCTAAATATCTATTCATATAGTATAAATTAAATTGGATCAATCGTATATTTGTCAGCCACACATATTTCATGCGTATATGCTCTTATAATTACTTTAGTGACTTAATCCTTTCTATTTAGTTTTTAACTTTGATTTTTTCCCAACTCGAACGAGATTTTTTTTTGGTCGAACCCTAACTCCTTAATTAATAATGTCTTATTTTTTCTCTCAATAAATCTTACATCTGTAAATTTTGATCGGTTTATTTGTTTCTTGTGGTTACAGACTATAACGTGAGACCGGTGAATTTATTTCCATATCCGAAAGGTCGTGGGTTCTCAATAAATCTTACTGTCATGTAAAAAAAAGTCTTTAGAACATGAACTTCTACTAGTTTATCTATTTATGCGGTTTACAGATTATTACGTGAGAACGGTGAATTTACTCCCTTATCCAAAAGACATCGTGGGTTTTTTTTCCGTAATTTAAAAAAATTAAGAGCAATTGCCACAATATTACTTGATGTTTGTGTATACGTGGATCCATCTGTTCTATCTTGTTTAATTTTGACTCTGAAAATTGGAGAAAATATAGTGCGAATAGTCAACAATTTTAATTTAATTAAATTAAATTAAAAGACCGGGTAGAAATGACAACACGTACTTACTTGCACTCGAATTGGTAAACCCATCTTTTGTTTTGCTTCGTCTTACATTATCTTATTGAGACATATCACTTCCGCACACTTGGAAGTTTATTATATATATATATATATATATGCGTATACATGTGGATTTTAATTGTCATTAAAATGCATTTTTTCTTCAGTATATGTAAATATAGAATAATCCCATTAAAATACATTCGAAATTAATTAACACCCTTATACATAATCTGTATTTTGTGGATATGGAATATTTTTGGATTTTAGTTTTGTTTTGATTTGATTATTTATTTGAAGTTTAGTCTACAAAATCTATATTTATTTATTTTTTATTGATATTTGTTAGTTTTTAATTCTATTCGACTTTAGTTAGAATTCGGTTTCGTAAATAAATATAATTATCTTTTTCTTTCATTTTTTAAATTATGCTTGTATAAGTATATAATTGGTTTAGTTTCATTTAATATATACGAAAACTCTTATTAAAAAAACAAAAGTTTATCTAGTCTCAATGTTTTGCATGTGGTGAACCTATACACACACACACTTGTACATAAATTTCCAAAAAATGGTTGAATATATAAATTATAATCTTTTAAAGATAAACTGCAGGAATCATTGTAATATAATCTCTCTTTCGAACAATTAATTAAATCAATTTACAAAAGAGTGTGTATATATATATATATATATATATAGATCAGTGCTGTTTCAAACATTAGTTATCGTCTATACATATGACAACATCATTTCTTCTTTAGAACTCATCGTTCAGACATTCCCTGAATGTGATCAAGAATGACATAGTCATCATCTCCACAAGACAAATGGCGGAAGAGAAACGCATCTTGTTCGAGAAATACGAGGTGGGCAGATTGCTCGGGACAGGAACCTTCGCGAAGGTGTACTACGGCAAAGAGATATCCACCGGCGATGACGTGGCAATCAAGATCATCGGAAAAGACCACGTGGCGAAACGCCACGGCATGACCGAGCAGATCACGCGTGAGATCTCCGTCATGCGTCTTGTCCGGCATCCCAACATCGTGGAGCTACGCGAAGTCCTCGCCACGAAGAAGAAGATCTTCTTCGTCATGGAGTTCATCAGTGGCGGAGAGCTCTTCGAGAGGCTCGACAAGGGCGGGAAACTCCCGGAAGATCTCGCCCGTAGATATTTTCAGCAGTTGATCTCAGCCGTCGATTTCTGCCATAGTCGTGGTGTGTTTCACCGGGACATCAAGCCAGAGAATCTGTTGGTCGACGGGAACACCGGTGATCTAAAGGTGTCGGATTTCGGGTTGTCGGCGATGTTGTTGCCCGAGGGGGAGAGTCACGGCGGAGGGGAAGAGGCCTTGCTCCGTACACGGTGCGGGACACCTGCTTACGTGGCACCGGAGGTTCTGAGGAAGAAAGGCTACGACGGAGCCACCGCCGACATCTGGTCGTGCGGCGTCGTTTTGTATGCTTTGCTCGCCGGTTTCTTGCCGTTTCTCGACGAGAACGTGATGGCCATGTACACGTAAGTCTTTTACCGCTTCCTTTTCTTACATATAAATATTAAATTTTTTCTGAATAAGTATATTAATGTTTTTTCTATATAAATAAATCAGATATTTAAATATTTTGTTTTATGTATAAATATTATTTTTAAAAATAATGGAAGAAAAATCTACTCTAGTTCTTGTTAATGCGTGGATTTACGAATTTTACTTTTATTTATTTGTGAAATTATAAAATGTGACACGATTCCGACATTTGTTCGTGGTCAGAACCGATAACCGGATTACTAAACCGGATCAAATTCTCGGTATTATCTTAACCGTGATTTTGAGAGATATCCTAACCCTTTTTCGCGCCTTCGATGCACAGAAAGATCTTGAAAGCGGATTTCGAGTTCCCCCCATGGTTTTCTCCAGAATCGAAGAAACTGATATCGAAATTGCTCGTGTCGGATCCGAGTAAGCGGATTTCGATCTCCGAGATCACGAGGAATTCATGGTTCCGGAAGAATTTCAAGCCGCCGATGGCCTTCACTATCGACACTCCGATCCCATCGCCGATCTCGTCGCCGCCGGATCATCCGCCGTCGAAGAAGGTGAAGATGAAGAAGAAGAGTCAGAACGAGGAAGATGTGTCGCCGAGATCGTTCAACGCCTTCGATTTCATCTCATCGATGTCGTCGGGGTTCGATCTCTCGAGCCTCTTTGAGAAGAAACCGAGGCCAAAGCGGATGTTCACGTCGAGGTTGCCGGCGAAGCGGCTAAAGGAGAGGCTGGAGGCGGCGGCGCGTGAGATGGACATGCGGGTGAAGCACGTGAGGGACTGCAAGATGAAACTACAGATGAGGAAGGAAGGTCGGAAGGGGAGGTTGTCAGTGACGGCGGAGGTTTTCGAGGTGGCGCGTGAGGTATCCATCGTCGAGTTCTGCAAGTGCTCCGGCGATTCGTTGGAGTACCAGAGGTTTTGCGAGGATGACGTCAGACCTGCCCTGAAGGACATTGTCTGGACTTGGCAAGGTGATAATAATAGCAACCCTAATGATGATGGTGATGATGATCATCATCACAATAATGGTCATGATGACGACGACGACATAGTCAATGTCATATGAGGCTAACATTGAAAAAAAAAACCCTAATATTTGAGCTCATTTTGCTTTTGGGTATTTTTGAGGTTTGCAATGTAAATCGAAAATGCAAAACTTGTTGTATTATGAAAGGAAGAAAAAAACCATTTTAATCAATTGATTATGCATTGAATGCTGTTTTAATCAATCGAATTATTTTTCCGGTACAACCATAACCGGAAAATTTTACCAACACTCTCTTTTTTGACGTATGGTAATAAAGCCCGTCTCTATGCTCATGAAACATTAATCAGTAACTTCCAAGCGCTTCTGCAACACCCAACGAAGGGTTTACTTGTGTAAGACGAGACAACGGTTCAAAATCCGTGAGTAGATTCCCGGTTAAGAAGCAAACCGGAAAACAGACCGGTTCAAAGTATACAAGTATGCAGTCAATGAAAACAGAACTACTGAACCGGGAATTTGGCGAAAACAGAGTTTGGTGAGAGCCGAGAAGGGTTCAAAAGGAATTAAATAAAAAATACTCCCATTTGCTATTTTTACTTCAAAACATACTTTTCTCCAACTTTTGCAACTGTGAACATATGATTTATATGACCAGAAATTTAATCTTAGTCATATTGGTCATAACATTGAATTTAAACAAAGTATGTTTTGAAAACAAACCTATTTTTTGAGGAACGAAAAAAAGCAATCATTTACCCAAAAAAAGAAAAAAAAAAGAAAAAAAAGCAATCGCCGGTAGACCATTTTTTGCGAAGCCTATATAATATATGATATATTGTTCTTATTTAATATATTATTTTACGCCAAATCTTTACATTTTGTATGGAAATTTTCTTCCATTTCACCCCTTTGTCCCGGGATTTTTTTCACACATATATATATATATATATGTTGGTAATAATATTTAAAAAAAAATATGTACACAAGTCGTTATATGGATAGCTCATGCCCCGGGGTTGGATGGACCACATGTGTCACTTTTCTTGTAATTGTCATTCTTATCTATTTCCTTTTTTAAATCCTATGGTCGCTTATAAAAAAAAATTGAGAGAGAATAATTTCCACTTAAATAATATATATATATATATATGCGTTTTGGGACGAGAGAGAATTTTTAACTGCTTGTTTCAGATTTTCTTTTGATTTTCTTTGTTACAATAGATACAATTCACTCGATTTTTAAAAAAAGTTCATTATTGAATATTTATTAAACTAAAATTGGTTTGATTTAGTTTAGTGTTAAAATAGTTATAAAAATATATATAAAAAACTACTACAAAATAATAACCGAATTGAAATTTTATTGGCGTTGAACCAAATTTTGATGTATATGATCTAGAATTTCCTAACAACACTTATGTATTTTATACACTAAAATGAATCCGTATCTAATTTAGGATTTTACGTAAATTTTGATATTTCTTTGTCAATTTTTTTATAAATTTTATTATAGCCAAATTCACAATTTTGTCACGCTAATTAGTGTTAATAATTTTTCATCATAAAAATAAACTATTTAACTTCAATTGTTAACTTATACTATTTTTCCTCACTACAAAACATTCGGTTACGTAATCAACAAAATTTTCCAAGATTAATTTTGTAAATTATTGCCGCAAAGGGAAAAAGGAAATAACCGAGAATAACAGCTAAGTTTGGGAGTAAAATCACATGTGTGGAACCAAAGGAATTCTTTTCGTTTCTTTCTTCTTCCCCATCTAATCTCCCATGATCTTTCTCCCCAAAAGATTTGATTTCAATGTTTAGAATCCCTCGCTCATCCGTTCCTCTCATTATTCCGATCTAATTCTCTCTTGGGGGTTCTCTTCAAATCCCTGTCATTGATCTAGGATCTGTAAGGGCGTGCCCTAATTTGGCGAGAGATGTGAGTACCAACTTCTCTCAGGACTTTTGATTCATTGAATTTGTCTCCTCTTTTCCTAACGAAATCTCGATTTCTGCATCTGGGTATCTCGTTACAGTACCACTTTCTTAAATTTGTCCCTTTTCATCGATTTGCCTGTCTGTTGGGTTGTCTTGATCTGTGCTCGAGGATCAAGATCAGAGTTCCCTACGTTGTTCAGTTCCATGCCGGACCCTCCGAGTTCATTTCTTTGATTACAGGGTTTTCATCTATGAGCTTGGAAATGGGTTGATTCGATTCTAGATTCTGATCTGTTATATTTGAAAGGCGAGAAATCGGGGCTCTGGGATTTGTTTATCGTTTTGTTATGACAAGCAATGTGTTGGTGATTCATAACGAAACGTTCGATTCGCAGAAAAGTGATGGGTATATACCTAAGTTCTCCGAAAACGGAAAAGTTTTCAGAAGATGGTGAGAATGATAAGCTCAGGTATGGTCTATCATCTATGCAGGGTTGGCGTGCCACCATGGAAGACGCTGTGAGTGAAACAATCTTGAATTGAATGTTACTATTTGTGATACCGTTATCATATGGACGTTTAATTATGAAATCTCTGCTTTGTTTCATTCATGCACTAATCATGATTGCTTCATACTAATTCAGTGGTTCTCAACCACTTTCTCGTGTTTGCTAGCATGCAGCGATACTGGATACAGACGAAAGCACTTCGTTCTTCGGTGTGTATGATGGCCATGGAGGTAAGAGCCAGTTTTCATTGGAAACTAGCTTCTTAACTGCACAACAAGTAACATAGTTTCGCTGAATTAAAAAAAAAAATGTTTATGTCTTAGTTTATTCTTGTCGGAGAAAAGATAGACTGAGGTTTTTGACAAATTCGTAGGGAAAAAGAAGAACTGGAGGCTTTTGACTATAACTATATCGTGTCTGATGTTTCTTTCTGGATTTAGTTTGGTATCTTTTGATATGTATAGTTCTTGTATGTACCTGTATTTCTGTACAAGTGTATTGGAACTCAAAACTAATTTTCGGCGGTGTTTTAGGCAAAGTTGTTGCAAAGTTCTGTGCAAAGTATCTACATCAGCAGGTTCTCAGTAATGAAGCATATGCAGTTGGTGACATAAGAACATCTCTACAAAGAGCTTTTTTCAGGTTATTTCGTTTTCAGGATTTTTTTTAAAGTTTGGTGCTTTAGTATCACTAATGCAGGAATTTAGCTCCCATCATCATGAAAACTGGATCTGTTAGCTCTTAATAGAACTTTGTAAGATTATTACTGCAAAACTACTTCCCGAATGTACAAGTAACTCTCACTGAATTTCTCTTCTTCTATTCATTCTCTTTACAACTCTTTTCTTCTTTTTTTCTCATGTATTTTTTGTTGTGTTTTTCCTCCTACACATCACCCCTTTTTATATTAACCCTAAACACATTTTGTATTCTACACACATTTATTCAAACCCCATTTCCCATACATATTCAATACATTCAAACTTCCACAAACTTCTAGGTTACTTCTTTCCGAAACTTCTCGCAAATGACATCCATGATTTTGGGTTCTTCTAGGTGAATCAAGATTAATTATATTTCAAAACTCCCCCTCTTAAACTTGATTATCATGCCAACTTGGTGACACCTCTTTTTTTTCTTGCATCTGTGCATGCTTCTCCCGAACTTTCGTCTTTTAAAATTCTTGTGAAACCATTTCAATCCGATGGGTCTATGATGTTCCGTCCATTCCAACATCTCGTTATTCTTTATGGCCACAATTTCCTCATTCATGGTCTTTCTCCACTTTTCGTTCTCCAATGCTTCAACAAAGTTTATTGGTTCCTTATCTGCAAAAAAACAAAATAAAGTCTGATTCTGATTGAGATCATAGATCTTCTCTAAACTTTCTTCCTCTCGGTCCAATAGTGTTAGGACCATCTTCGAGGGATGAAGATCCTCTCGAGCTGAACCCATCCTCGAAATGTGATTGTGGAGTTGGTGACTCTTGCTCAAACTTCTCTTAATCATTTCCTATCATAGAAGGATAGACAGTAAACTTCTCCTTGCCATCCGAACTCCAATCTCGACACTCTTTTCATCCACAACCACATCTCGGTTGGTCTTGATTTTCTTCTCGGTGGGATCTTACAGTTTTTAATCTTTCGATTGTTTACTGTACTCTATAAATATGTATTTTGGACTACGATCATCAAACTTCTTCTTTTACTGCTCCGGGACATGAACATAAGCAAGACTACCAAAGACCCTCATAAACAAGGCTACCAAAGACCCTAAGATGAGAAATATAAGGTCTGTATCCATTCCACAGTTGTTGAGGTGTCCGATTCCACACTCTTCGTCAGACATCAATTCAAAAATAAATCACACAATCAATTGTTTCAGCCCAACATTCCCTGGGCAAGCTCTTGCTTTTCAACATACGCCTGATCATATTCAAAATGGTCATGGTCTTCCTCTTCGCAACACCATTCTATTGTGGAGAATATGGAACAGTAAGTGACCTTCGAATACCTTTTTCATCACAGAACATCTTAAACTTCTTTGATGTAAACTCACTACCCCGATCTAATCTCAATGATTTAATCTTGTAACCGCTTTGTCCTTTAACAAGAGCTTTAAACCTCTTGAACGCCGAACCTCCGACTTCTCCTTCAGAAAATAAACCCACGACTTTCTATTGTAATCATGAGTGAATAATAAGTACTTGTTATTCCCGAAAGATGGCGGTTCAAGAGGGCCATACCAAAGTTGTTCTCTTTCTCCATCCGAACTATTTTGTGCTAGTAAAACCGTGTCTTCCACCTCTTTTTTTCTCCTTTGCATAGTTAACTTGCTCTTTTTTCTCATCCGGCCCGTCAAAACATTGCTAAGAGAAATGACCATAACGATGACATTTGTAATACTCAACATCACGTTTGTCTTGTTTTTGGGTGTAACCTCCTCTACCACGTCCTCTTGAATAGTATCCACCCTACTCATTTTGATGCCACTGATCTTCTTCATGTTCACGACCACGTCCTCGACCGCGTCCTTGACCACGACCACGACCACGACCATGACCACGTCTTCGACCACAAACGTGTTCTTTTTTATTTTTAGTAATCAAATGTCTTCTCACAGATATTCACCTTCACTTGAAGTGTATGCTCGATCGGTTCTTTGTTCCACTTTTAAATTTTTTCTTCATAGACTTGAAGTTTTCCGGTGAGTTTATCGACATTCATATTCTCAATGTCGTTGGACTCTTCAATCGCTACAGTGACATGATCAAACTTCAGTGGTAGTGACCGAAGTATCTTCTCCACAACTCAACCATCTTTCATCTTTTCACCATTGGTTTTGAGTTGATTTGAAACCGCGGTTACTTGAGAGATATAATCGAACACTTCTTCAAATTCTTTCATCTGCAATGCCTCAAACTCACCATGTAGAAATTGAAGCCTCGCCTTATTGATGCCTTTGAAGGCTTTGCCAATGTATCCCATAATTCTCACTGAATTTATCTTCTTCTTCTATTTATTCTCTTTACAACTCTTTTCTTTTCTTTTTTTCTCTTGTGTTTTTTGTTGTGTTTTTCCTCCTACGTATCACCCCCTTTTATACTAATCCTAAACATATTTTGTATTCTACACACATTTATTCAAACCCCATTTACTATATATATTCAATACATTCAAACTACTAAGTCATTCCTTTCCAAGACTTTTTGAAAATGGCATCCATAACTTTGAGTTCTTCTAGGTGAATCAAGATTAATTATGTTTCAACAGAATCAACTATTATTATAGCAACAGTGAGTCAACTTTTTATGGTTCTTTAATGTAGAATGGATGAGATGATGCAAGGACAAAGAGGATGGAGAGAGTTAGCAATACTCGGAGACAAACTAAATAAGTTCACCGGCATGGTAGAAGGATTGATATGGTCTCCCAGAAGCAGAGACCATAATAACCACCACGATGACTGGCCTTCTGAGGATGTAATTCTTCAGTAACTGCATAATGCTGTTCTTTTTCAGTTAGGTTTAAGACCTGTCTTTTTTGTTCTTGTTAACAGGGTCCTCATTCTGATTTCCCTGGACCCACTTCTGGGTGCACAGCATGTGTAGCTGTTATTAGACACAACCATCTCTTTGTTGCAAATGCCGGTGACTCGCGTTGTGTGATATCCCGAAAGGGTCAGGTAGAGTGTCGTTATTTTAGTAATTTGACCTGTTTTGATGAGAAAGGAATCGGGGAATTTCGTGGCCTCTTATATATAATTCTCTGAATATATGTATTTGTGCAGGCTTACAATCTTTCTACAGATCACAAACCTGATCTGGAAGCTGAAAAGAAAAGGATATTGAAAGCCGGTGGGTTTATTCATGCTGGACGAGTCAATGGAAGCTTGAATCTGGCAAGAGCTATTGGTAACTTTTCTCTACTCCCGATTCCTTGCAGCTTAATGTGATCTCATTCCCTAAATCGTGAATAATCAACGCCGACCGCAAATCTTTACATGTAATCTTGATTGAAGCGGCGTCCTTCTTTGCTTTTTGCAGGTGACATGGAATTCAAGCAGAATAAGTTTTTACCAGCCGAAGAGCAAATCGTTTCTGCCAATCCAGATATTAATACTGTAAGAGATTATCAGTGTTTGTTCAATCCTCAAATCTCGATGTCCTAAAAGCTCTTATCAACTTCCACACAGGTGATTTTAACTCGGCTTTCCATGTGTTCTCTGATCAGGTCGAACTCTGTGATGACGATGATTTTCTTATTCTTGCCTGTGATGGAATCTGGTAAACCCGTAAAAGACCGTTATTCTTTTTGCCGGATAAGTTCTTCATTCCTTGACGAAAACAATTTGGGTGGTGATAATTTCCCGTCTGGGCTCATCTCTTGTCTGCAGGGACTGCATGTCAAGCCAGCAACTAGTGGATTTTATACATGAACAGCTAAATTCGGTAAGTTAAACCAGAGATCTCCATTGTTTTTTCCTTAACCAGATTTCGGGTTGTGGTTTTGTTCTATCCTCTTTTCCGGGCATCATATACCCTCCATTGGTATCGGTAATGGGTCAGGAAACGAAGCTATCGGTGGTGTGTGAAAGGGTACTCGATAGATGTCTGGCTCCGAGTACAGCCGGTGGCGAGGGTTGTGATAACATGACCATGATCCTGGTTCAGTTCAAGAAACCGATCCAGCAATCATCAAAGACAGAACAAGAACAAGAACCAAAACCTGAAGAGCCAGTTGAAGCTGAAACGAGCCAGGATGAGCCGAGCTCGTCGAACTAGCCAGCCTTCCCATAAGCCAGAAGAAGATTCGAGTGGCTCGTATCGATAACAACAGGCTGCTTTACCATTGTAAATGACTTCGTGGGGGATTTCAGATTTCAGTTTCTCTACGTCTGGATCATGTTTTTCACTGGTGGTTATGACAACGTGAAACAACTTTGTGTAGTTTATTCGGATTATTGTGAATCGTGTTGTTTGAGGAATGAATGATCAACGAAACCTACCTTGCAATGCACGTAATCGTAGTAGATATTTGACTCTTGATTGATATTGTGTCACACTGCTCGTTTGACCTCCTCGTTACAGTTTTTGATTCATATTCGAATTCAAGTACTTTAATACATAAATCGAATGATAAATTTAGCAAAGAGCTAAGATCTCTTGGTACATGTAGAGAAAAATAAATAAATAAAAATATCCAATTAAAAGCTACAAAAAAAAGAGCGTTCTAGAGACCACTGCATCAGAACAAAGCCCACAAACCAAGAACAAGACCGACCGCAGAAACAACTCCGCCGCGAGCTCCGGCGGCAGCACTGGTGGGGGCGACGGCGGGACCGTCGAAGTCCGCCGGAGAAGGTGCCGGAGAGAAGGCGGAGTGTCGAGGAGTGACGACGACGAGTTTCAGCTTCTGACCCTTCTCACAGTGACCCTCTGCTCCACTGATGAAGTAAAAGGGACCTGGCCTCTCCAGCCTCACCTTCGTGTCCCCTCCGCTGTAATTTGCTATCGGATTCGTGGCGTTGCAGCTCTTGTAAGCCTCTGGTGTGACTTGTAGAACCGAATCATTACCTTCTTCGTAATGAAATACTGAAAGAGAGCAACGATTCAGACAGTGTCAAGAACCGAAACAGAGTACAGTTAGATTCTATAAAGTTTTCGCCTTTCAGAGCCAAACTTGTGGAAGAAGATGAACCCATGTTTCTACAAACTGTGAAAGCGGGGGAAACAGGGAGATCATAGCAGATTTGATAATACCCAGATTTCAGAAGGAAAAAGATTCAGAACGAAAGGGAGAAAGCAGATTTGTACCAAGAAAGTCTCCGACTTTGAAGCGAGAACTCTGAGCCCAGAGAGTGAAAGAGTCAGAAGAGGAGGAAGGGATCTTCCATTCGCCGGATTTTCCACCGACGATGACTTCATTCGCAGACGAGGAGAGGAAGAAGAAGCAGAGAGAGACTGCCACAGCAAGAGAAGACTTCGTCAGAGTAGCCATTGATGAAGAAACAGAGATATTACTACCCGGGGGAGGAGGGCTGTTTTGGTTTTTTTTGGTGGGTTTGTGTGTGATTTTGTGAAGGGTATTTATAGAAGATGGGAAAGGAGGTAAGGGATACACTTTGAAAGCTAGCCGTTGGAGGAAACTGAGAAATGAAAGAAAGTAGCCGTTGGAAGAAGGGGGAGTAGGTAACGGTCGGGAACCAGAAGACAGAAACCTGGTCAAAAGAACAGGTGTACTGTCTCCGAGGTTAACACGAATTCTTTTTTCTTTTCTCGTCTTTTTAATTGCATTCTGATCTATATTCCAAAGATAATATATTCTTCAAATCATATACTTTTTCATTTGAAATATTGTGATATGGCTGAATAAGTTGGAAAAAAAAAAAAAACATTTCAGTACATTGAAACTAGTGTATATATTTTAGTCATTATGTTTAAATTAAAATTTTATATAAAAATGGAATAAATTTAAATAAAATAGAAAGATTATTTTAAATTTTAAATTAAATTAAATATGATTGATTTTCATTTAAAAAATGAATGATTTATTTTCATTAAAATAATTGTATCATTTTATTTTTAAAATCGTAATTGAATCGAACCCAAAATTTCCACATGAAAACTTTTCTGCCAAAAAGAAGTTTGATATTTTCTTTGACAAACGAGCTACGAGGTCCTTCGAAGTCGGGACACGTGTCATGTAACGAGAGCGTTCATAACATGCAACCACGCTTACGTGTCTTTTCACCTCCATCTCCAAAACGCCATTAGCTCAATCTTCATCGTCAATAACGCAAACCAGCCTAACCAAGAAGAAGAAACCCAATGGCCATCGGAGGAGGAGAAGAAGACTGGAGGAAGAACGCCGACACGCACAAGATGAGTCCGGAGAACGTGAAAGCGGCAGGGGTCGAGTCCTCGAAACGGCCACCTGGTCACAACCCAGGCGGCGTCCTCCACCAGCGACGCAAGCTTCCGTACAGCTACACCACCATGGGCATCGCCGGTCTTCTCATCTCCGGCGCCGTCATGTACGCCGCCATCTACGTCAGGAAGAAACCCGAAGCCACCGCCGTGGATGTCGCCAAGGCCACCACCGGTCTCGGACGGCCCGAGGACACCCACCCCAGGAAGTAAACAAGATCTCATCTGCTGATGTCACCGTCAGACAAATATATTTCTTTTTCTTTTTTGTTTTTATTTTTCTTACAAAAGGATGAATGTAAATCTGGAATATTATGGATGTTGAAGGGAATCTGAACTGGAAAACATGACCCATTTCTTTATTGAGATCAAAATTGACAACACTTTCATCTAGACCAGCTAACACGGCGTTTCAAAACAGCTTTAGAAGAAGAACCATGAACATGAACATGAACAGAAGAACGATCAAGCTGTGTTGTTCTGATAGATTCAGGAATGCAGTATTCAAGTCCTGCTCTAGAAGATTCAGGAACACGTCGAGCGAGCAGATTCGCTGCGTCTTTCCACCACGAGACCTCTGTTTCTTTCTCGTCGAGCCGACGTTCCACTCGCCTCAGAGCAGTCTCCAGTTCTTGAATCTCTTCTTGTTGCCTCGCCGACAATAGTTCGTGCAGTCTTCTTTCCAGTTCGTATGGACACACTCCATGTCTCTCGTCTGCTACTACCTCTTCTGAATTCAGCATTTTACTCTTCCCGCTCTCGGTGTTCTTCTAGTGACAACCCAAAGAACAGGAACTGATGATGAACTCAAATGTGTGATTCAGTTACCAATCACCATTTCTAAGTCTTATGTAATGGAAAATCAATGGTGGGTGTTCTCATTACCTTGACTTCTTGTTGCCTCTGACGCATCATCATTTGTCTCTCACTGGCTTTGTCGTTCAGATTTAGACTAGGAAGCTCAGCTTCGACTTTTGATTCCCGACCTGTTCCTCCGTTGTATTCCTCTGGCTTGGAGACTTCACTCTCTGTACTCTCGTCGTGAGCAACGTTCGTTGACGACTCTTCGAAAATGGATGATGCCAAATTCGAAATGACTTGAGGGGTGATCTGGTTATCGTCGTTTGGTTCCTGACTCTTTCCGCATTCATCGCTGTGGTATAAAGTTTTGTCCTTTGAAGACTTGGATGGCATTTCCTGTAGCTCTTTCTTCCGTAGCTCTTCTTTAACATTCTGAAGGAGCATCTCCATTTGCATCCGAAGTTTTGCCATCTTGTCAAGCTCGGCTTTGCTTGCGACGACGAGATACAACAAGAAAGAGCCGATCCCCGCATCCAAAGATGTTTCTCTGCTCCGTGATTCTGCACAGTGATACCGGTATCACAGAGAATATCCAACTGGAAGAATGTAAAAAATATCATAAACTACAAAAATGTGCTTGAACAAACCCAAGAGCAACTGAATCCCGTCAAAGCAACGAGGAACTTTGAGCAAGAGATTCCGGTAAAGAAGCTTGTTTTGCTCTAAAAGAATGGTACATCCCATATTCAGCATGAGATTAAAAAACGATCCTACGACCTATGTTTGATGGGAGATGAAGAAATGAATCTTCTTTCCTTGTACAATTGAATTTGTTCCAAGCCATAAGACGATACCCATACTTCTCACATAGTTGGGGAAGAAACTAGCATCACCCACGAAAAATCAAATCGTTTCTCAAGAGAAGAGGCAACAGACGAATAGAAAAACACAAACTTCTCACCAAATCCGTTAGTTGCCGGAGCTGGACTCGATGGAAAACCCACGTTCAGGCGTTTTGTCGAACACTTGATGGGTCCCGTCTCATCATCATCTTCAACTCCTTCCTCATCCTCTTCCCTCTTCCCCTTCGCGCTTTTCAACCCAAACAGCCACCGGGCGACGACCCTTCGCGGTGTATAACACTCCACCACCGCGCAACCGTCGACGTTCCTCCGCCGCGACCGTCCACGAACCTCCATTGATGATCGAACGACCCAAATCGAATCTGGGTTTGGTGGAGAAATCTGGGTTTGAGGCGAAGGGATTTAAAGGAGAGGAAGACCCTTCTGGGAGGGATCGAGATCCGATTCATTGATAATGGTGGGACGGAGGAAGCAGAGATAGATGAACAACTGGGGCGACGAAATAAATGAGAATCACGAGAATGACAGAGTTTCGATGTTTTTGGAGGGAAAATTGATTTCGTTTTTTGAATGTTCCGAAACTTCTTCAATCATTGTTTCCTATCCATTTAATGCAGTGTGAAAAGAATATTTATCGAAAAATTCAGATAAATATCCAAATAGTTTCTCTCTTTATTTTCTTTTAAATTTTAACGAATTTTCATAAATAATTTTAACATGTTTGATTTGGATGGATTGATTTTCTACAGTGGACCGAATATCCACGGCCACCCCGTACACATTTTGTTTATGGTCAACGAACCGAACCCGCTAATCGGTTCAGAAGCTTTTCGTTGTTCGGACCATTTTTTCCTCAGAAATGTCGGCGGCGAACTGAAAACAGATGAATGAAATCATTGGCCTCTCTTCTACAAAGCTCTTCTCTCTCACTCCACAATCTTCTCGCCACACATTGTCGAACCATCAGATGTGGTTGCATCGCCGACATTTACCTCTCGAACAGGGTTTTGGGCAACTACCTCAATTGCGGGGAGTTTGGTCTTGCCCAGAAGCTGTTCGACGAAATGCGTCACAGAGACTCTGTTTCGTGGAACACGATGATTGCTGGTTATGCCAGCCGTGGGAATCTGGTGAACGCTTGGGGTTTGTTTAGATGCATGAGAAGCTTAGGATTTGACGTTCATGGGCATAGCTTCAGTAGTATATTGAAAGGGGTTGCTTACGCAGTAAGGTTTGATCTTGGGCAGCAAGTGCATTCTTTGGTAATAAAGACGGGGCTTGGGTGTAATCTCTTTGTGGGAAGTGCGCTCGTCGATATGTATGCAAAATGCGAAAGAGTTGAGGATGCTCTTGAAGCTTTTCAGGAGATCCCTGAACCTAATTCTGTCTCCTGGAGCGGTTTGATCGCTGGGTTTGTGAAAATAGGAGATATCGAAAGTGCGTTTTGGTTGTTAAGACTTATGGAGATGGAGGATGTGAAGCTTGAAGATGGAACTTTTGCTCCAATCCTTACACTGCTCGATGATCCGTGTTTTTATGATTTATTAACGCAGGTTCATGGTAAGGTTTTAAAACTCGGGCTCGACTATGAAAGTACTGTGCGCAATGCGATGATCACTTCTTACGCAGAGTGTGGTTCAATTCTAGATGCGAAGAGAGTTTTTGATACTGCGGTTGGATCAAGAGATTTGGTTACCTGGAATGCAACGCTTGCAGCTTTCTTTGTTCATGAGCAAGAGGAACATGCGCTTGAGCTGTTTCTTGATATGCAAGAGACAGGGATCGGTCCTGACATCTATACTTACACCAGCATCCTAAGTGCTTTGTCTGGAAAGGGAAGGCAAATGCTCGGGAAATCCTTGCATGATTTGGTTATCAAGAAAGGACTAGAACATGTAACTTCGGTGTCAAATGCTCTGATGATGATGTATCTGCAAACCACTAACAGAACAATGGAAGATGCGGTCCGTGTATTTGAATCCTTGGAATGTAAGGATCTTGTTTCTTGGAATTCCATTTTGACTGGGTTCTCACAAAAGGGTCTGAGCCAGGACACGTTAAAGTTCTTCCGGCACTTGATATCATCTGACATAGAAGTCGACCATTACTCCTTTTCTGCAGTACTTAGATCATGTTCGGATCTTGCGACACTGCAATTAGGTCAACAGGTTCATGCCCTTGCAACTAAATCGGGTTTCGAGTCCAACGAATTTGTAGCCAGTTCTCTTATCTTCATGTACTCAAAGTGTGGGGTAATCATGGATGCTCGAAAATCTTTCGAGGAAACCTCCAAGGATAGCACGATAGCTTGGAACACGATGATTCTCGGGTACGCTCAGCATGGTTCGGGTCAAGTTGCACTTGATTTGTTCGCCCAGATGAGGAACCGAAATGTGAAACTCGACCACACGACATTCACCGCTGTTCTAACGGCTTGTAGCCATGTCGGGTTGGTTCAACAAGGCATCGACCTCCTAAACACCATGGAACCCGTCTTCAGAATCTCACCGAGGGTGGAACATTACGCTTGTGCAGTTGATCTCCTAGGTCGAGCAGGATTACTGAACAAAGCTAAGAACTTGATAGAATCCATGCCATTAAAACCCGATCCAATGGTGTGGAAAACCTTTCTCGGAGCTTGCAGGGCGTGCAGAGACATAGAGCTTGCCACTCAAGTAGCTAATCATTTACTTGAAATTGAGCCGGAAGAGCACTGTACGTATGTATTGCTCTCTGATATGTATAGCCAGATGAAGAAATGGGATGAGAAAGCGAAAGTGAAGAAGATGATGAGGGAGAGAGGTGTGAAGAAGGTTCCTGGTTGGAGTTGGATTGAAGTTAGGAACAAAGTTCATGCCTTTAATGCAGAAGATCGATCTCACGTTCATTGCAGAGATATTTATTTGATGCTTGGAGATTTGGTTAAGGAAATCCAGTGGTCTGATTCCGACAATGGGTTTGACGAATCTCTTGTTCTTGGTTCTTATCAAAACGCATGATGATTCTGTCCAACTCATCATTTAGCTATTTGTACTCTTCTTCTTCTTCTTCTTCTTCTTCTTTAGTTCTTCCTCGTTCGAGTCTCGGGAATGTTCCTCGGATCTAAAGATGTTGCCCTTAGCGTTCCCAAGTTCTTGGAGAGAATTTTGTCTATAGATAGATGCAAGGGAAAATCATTCGAAGATGGGACATCGAATTATTCAGATTGGTATACTTTTGTTTCCAGGTGTGGTTACTTTGGTTTCGATTCGTGTTGGTATGATTATTTTTTAGGTTTATTTTTTTTCAATTTTCAAAAAATATTATTTTGTATTCCGTTAAATCTCATTTTTTGTTAATAGATTTTCTTGAAGTTTTTTCATTTTCAATTCAGTTGAGATTTAGTTTGGATTATTTTTTTAATTTTTAAAAATTATATAATTAGAGATGATTATACATTATTAGGAGGGTTAATGGGGTTTGATGTCTAAGCAATCAAACACCGAAATGGAACTATTTCTTTTTTTTCGTCAAATTATTGTTCCTTCTATACTAAATTCGTCAACTGACACAAATCCCTAAGAAAAGTAGATAAGACAAATTAAAATGAAAATAAAGAAGAAGCTCCGAGAATTGTTAAGGTACAGACGACGTAAGACAATCATCGGTAGACGTGCACCTGCATGGCCGCCGCGTGTCTGATCGTCTGGCTGTCGCATAAGCCATCTTCTCGTTTATTTTACACGGGTTACCAAAATGAGTAAGCTAACTCGACGGAGGAGTTGGCTTGCGTATTTTGTTTATATATTTATATTTTTTTGTATTTTATAAAAATTAATATTTAATTTAATTTTTTTGTTACATATGTATAAATTTTTTTTACAATTTTTTAGTATTTAAATTATGTATTTGATATTATATTATGAACCGAATTTGAAAACGAACCCAAGGAATTAAATCCAAAACAAACCAATTGGTTTTGATCTGAGCAACTGCACTGTTAATTTTAGGCATTATTTATATTAATATTAAAATCCGGGAGGCCCATTTTTAGCCCAAGGGAAAAAAATAAAACATTTATTTATTATTATTTTCATTTTCTTTCATTTTATAATGTTCATTATTGGCATGATTAATTATTTATTTTTCAGAATAGAAAGATCTCTCTGTTTCTCTCCGCTGTCAAATGAAGACTTGAAGCTATTGGAGAATCCTTCTTTGGATTTAATCATCTGTTCTCCTTCGACGGTGCTCTCTCTCTCTCTCTCTCTCTCTCTCTCTCTCTCTCTGCTCTTGCTCGTTGAAATCGCCTTGCTCTTGTCGCGGATTCTGGTGTGCCTTGTTTCTTTTGTCGTTTAAATCTGATCGATTCGCTCTTTCTGGATGAATTGATTTGCGTTTGAATTCGTATCGCTTCTCGTTCTCAATCTGTTGTGGCTTTTGATTTTTTGTTTTTTTCTTGTATCCTGTAGATTTTCTGGTTCCGTTCTTGATGTTTTTGAGCTTGGTCGAGGAATCTCAAGGTGTTCGTACTTGTTTTGAATAGGATTCAGATTTTCGTAGGTTGTGTGCAGGTGAAGATTCTGTCAAGTGGTGATAGCTTACATGATTTTCTTTTTTTTTTCTCGTCTGTGATTAGTGGAAAAGGAGGCTGGATTAGCCACTAATTTGGCTTTTCTGACTGTGGTTTTGCTCAGAAGAAGCGAGGGGATTGTTTTGGGAAATTTTATGCAGAGGGATGGGGTATCTAAACTCAGTGTTGTCATCTTCAAGCCAGGTTCATGCCGATGATGGGCCGGTCAGCGGCGGTGGCCTCAGGTTGTTCTCTTCCTTATCCAGCTGTAGCATATCGTGTATTCATTGTCACGCACTCCTATTCGCTTGCCTGTGGGGGTTTTCCATCTTGTAGTTGTTTTGTCCTTGGAAGCTTTGCACCTGAAATGAGATATCCATGTATAACACTATAACAGCCATTTTCATGATTTGATAGCCGAGTATGGCCTGTGTTCATCATCTAATTATTAAGTCCACGTGCTGATTTATTGATGTATATGTGATCATATTGTAGCTATTGAATTCTGTGAGAAGTCTTCTTTTGCATCTGTTTTAATCTGGAAATGAGAGTAAGGAGAAAACAAAGAAAACTGACGTGAACCCTTTTTGGCTTCTAATCTGATTTATGAGCTGTACTTGTATTTTAGATTGGAAAGATCTGTACTTTTTCACTTTTTTTTCAATTTGACAGCTGCCCCTCACGCTCTGCATAAAACTTATTATAGTTTTTAGGTGGACAGAGTTCACTCTTGCATTGATCACCATATTTCGTTTCATATCAGCGTAAGAGGAGCTAGGAAAATCGTGTCCTAGTATCATCTAGCCTTTTGTGTCTGATCATCTCCCTTTGATTTGAATCTTTAAAGTCAATAATTCTCTTTTTGAAATTTATAAGCCCCTGTGTGTGCTTTCAGTCAAGGAGTTATGATGTATTTTCTATTTTCATTAAAGCATGTTGATACTTCAAAATAGAACTCTTTCATTGCAACTAAAAGTCTAGACGTATGATTTACATTCCCAGATGTTGGCTAGTTTTCTAGATTGACATGTCACTCCTTTGAACTTAGACGTGCTTGCATCCTTTCAAGTTTCAAGATGTATGTGAATTTTCTGAATTACTCTTGATGAATTATGGGTTCTTAGATATTGTTTGCTGTCAAATTTGAATGAACAGAATCAGTTAACAACTTCCGTTTATTTTCTTCCAACAGCCAAAATGGAAAGTTTAGCTATGGATATGCAAGTTCTCCTGGCAAAAGATCTTCGATGGAGGACTTCTATGAGACAAGAATCGATGGTGTTGATGGGGAGATTGTTGGTCTATTTGGAGTCTTCGATGGTATACATTCTAACTCCCTATCAAACACAGGAACTAACTTGTTCATGGGTTGCGTATCATTGGAGGTCGATGCAGTGCTTCTATCTCCAATATAACCTAGTAATATTTTAAAATGTAGCAATATGCATTTCCCCAAGTATAAAGTAGATATATGACAGAGTAGATCGGATTATCTACTTGTTAAACCAAATATTTTATATAGAAGACTTTCAATTGAGATATGAATGTAGGCATTCATTTCTAGTGCGTAAGCATCATATCATACCCTCATATACCAAAATTCATATTTCAACTCTGTATTTAGAATTTAGTTCTAGTAGATAAATATTAGCATGTCGTAGGTTTCCTGTAAAATGGACTCTTGAGAGGCGCAATAGTAATGTAGCTGATGGTTGTGTGACTCATGCCTAGGACATGGAGGTGCACGTGCAGCTGAATATGTGAAGCAAAATCTTTTCAGTAACCTGATCAGACATCCGAAGTTCATTTCTGATACCAGATCTGCTATAGGTGCATTGTAGCTTTTTCCTTATGAATCTTTTGATAATGCTCAATTCACTGCCTAATATTTGTTCTGATTTCTTCATTTTCTTCCTTTTATTGTCAGCCGATGCATACAACCATACAGACTCAGAATTTTTAAAATCAGAAAATAGTCAGAACAGAGATGCTGGTTCAACTGCTTCAACAGCTATCCTAGTCGGTGACCGTTTACTCGTGGCAAATGTAGGGGATTCCAGAGCTGTTATATGCAAAGGCGGCAATGGTAGTGCTTTGTCCCTTCTCGTTTCTTGAAATTCTTGCCTCCACAATTGCTTGCGTTAGGGTTAGAGGGTTCATAAGCCTCCAAAGGGGATCATAAGATAAGAATGCGTCCACAACGATAAGACAGACGGAAAATGCTGATATCTGTATCGGTATCTATTCCACACTAGTAGTGTTAGACCATCTGATCACGTCAAAAATCCATTTGGGCAGCTATGAATAAATATCAGCTATATAGCTTGTTGTTCTATTAACACAAATCTTTTATTTTCATGCAGCTGTTGCGGTTTCCCGAGATCACAAGCCTGATCAAAGTGATGAGCGTCAAAGAATTGAGGATGCAGGAGGATTCGTCATGTGGGCTGGTAAGGAAGATTCTATTATGTTAATCATTTCTGCTTAAATATGAGGTGTTATATCCTTTCTCTTAACTGTGGAATCATTGCCTAAAAGGAACTTGGAGAGTTGGAGGGGTTCTAGCTGTTTCTCGTGCATTTGGCGATAGGCTGCTGAAGCAGTACGTTGTGGCTGATCCAGAGATTCAGGTACGAAATCTCTTCTCGTACTGGAAACATAAATTTTATATAGAAAAAAACTTGAGAATGAAACCAAAAAGACTATGATCTAAACTTCTAAGATCTCTCAAATTGGGGAAATTTCAGGAGGAAAAAATCGACAGCTCTCTCGAATTTCTTATACTTGCGAGTGATGGACTATGGGATGTCGTATCTAACGAGGTTAGGCAGTTTATTTAAATATCATTCCCTAAACATTCTTTTTTCACGCCTGTTATGTTGTTAGATCATTGTCATGTAATGTTGATTACGCTCTCCACCCACTTTCCTATAAACTGTTTTTGTTACCATCAGGAAGCAGTGGCAATGATAAAACCGATAGAAGAGCCAGAGGAAGCGGCGAAGAAGCTGATGATGGAAGCGTACCAAAGGGGAAGTGCCGATAACATAACATGCGTCGTGGTTCGTTTCTTGTCCAACGAAGGCGGATCCACCAGCTCGAGCCACCATGTCAACAATAGCATCATCACCACCAACGAGGGCGGCAACGACTCGTCTCACCATTCTAGTTAAAACATGGTAAATTCCTTCACTTTTTCGCTGTTTCGATTTCAACCAATGCCAAATGAAAGTGTGGGGGGGGGGGGGGGGATACGTATAGATAGATCAAGACCAGAAACACGCACACGACACGCATGTCTGCTTACTCTTTGTTTACTACAGCGATTGTTTTGGGGGGGTCTTTGCTTGGATCTTAAAACTTAGATTTAGATTCCAAGAAGTTTCATGTTCCAGTCTTCATTTTTAGCGTCTTCTTTTTCCTACATCCTATGCTCTGTGTGTGTAGTAGCACTGTAGCAGCATAAAGCCAAAGTCATTATTGGAATTATAGCGACACTCAAATGCTTGTGTCCGAAGAATGAGTTTGCAATTTTTTTTTTCCTTCAAAATTTTTAGTTTATTTGTTTCACATAGATTTTTCTTTCTTCAAAGCTATCAGTTCCTTATTTATTTTTAGTATATAATTGATTAGCAGCAAAATACTTTTATTTAATGTTTTTAGACATAGTTAACTTTTGTTTTATTTGGTGACTAATTTTCTCGCTAACACATTTTTATTTTTATTTTAGAACTTAGTATATTGTAAATTACAAAATCTATTAAACTCTACTTTCCAATATGAATATTTTTTGAGGTCTTTTGTCACAGTTTTTAGAAAATTTTACAAAATTTCTAATTATATTGGTTTTTGGATGATGTGAATGTACGTTATTACAACAATAACTTCGGATCTACAATTATATATATATATATATATATATATATATATATACATGTATATACATGAAACTATATTCACACTTGTATATGCATGACTAGCGGGCATATCATAAATCGTCATGGATGACATTTTGAGTCGCATGAGATTTGATTACCCATACACGTCCGTTTCAGTGACCAACCAGACGTACACGTAAAAGCAATTGCAAACAGACAGAAGCAAAGAAAAGAAAGAAAGGGATCATTCATTATTCTCTCAGTAGCAAAGAAAAGAAGAAATGGATCATGTTAAGAATGCTACAGAAGGGAGAATAAAACGTTGTTTGTCGGTGTGGCGTTCGGATTTGATGTTAAGAATGCTACATTTTATGACCACAAATCGGATTCAAAATAATAACCCCTTCCCCAAAAAAGGACATAAGAAAAGATAATGTCTGATTGATAGATATGAGCTTTCTTTTGATGACAGAGAACTCATGGGAGAGAGAACACTGTTGTTACTTGGGGAGTTTTTGAGAGAGGGAGAGAATATGTCTGAAAGAGAAACTTCAGCCGCTTCCTGACTTGAGCGTATTACTCAACCTGCGCATAGTAATCCATCCAACCCAAAGGCTTTTTTTACGAGCGTTGAAAAGAAATGTGTTCATGCTTTTCGATATTATGATTATGATATAAGAGGGTAAATGCCATTGTTCGGATTCGTAGGTTTTTTTTTTAACGGTAACTAACTGGATCAGATACGAGACCGCAAAAGGGTTAGTAAGCGATGACGAATCGAAAGGGAGGATGGAATGGTTACCAGTCTAAGCCGTCGAAAAGGCCTTCACCTTTGACAGCACAAGTTTTGAAGATGGCCCATTGCCGACTCTTAATCTTATGCAACTCCAAGGCCTCGGTCACAGCAGCGTCATCCATTGCCCCGGGAAGATCCTGTTCATCCGTTCCCATAATAAGAGGAGCTCAGTCTCAGTACAACACAACTAGCAGTTTTGTTTGGAACAAAGGGTGTTATTACGCAAAGCAAACAAAAGAGAAACAATCCAAATATCCGATGAGATCGGTTCAAAAGATCTAAAGAACAACAAAGCTTTGCCAAGTAAAACAACTTGAGAAGATGATACTGACCTGCTTATTCGCGAATATGAGAACCACTGCACCTTTCAACTCCTCCTCCTATATTATAATGGTTGAAAAGTGAGTCATACTTAGAAGCTATGTTACATAATAACAAGATGAAAATAGCTTACTTATGATGCAGTTGGTCTTCGAAAAAGGAAAACAAATTTTATACAACAAAAACAGTTTCCCTGCTTCCACAGTTAGACTACCAGTCTACACTATAATAATGTTGAATAGTATATCTGTAAGCAGATTCCAGCGGCGAACTAAAATTGAACCGGTATTATATCGCCAACAGATGCCCTCGATCATTCCAGATAATGGATATGAGAAGTCCTTTTATTAACAGATATGTGAAGCAGTTAGTTATATAAGAAGAAAGAAGCTTCAGCAGCAATTTACCTCCAAAATTGCATGAAACTCCTCTTTCGCCACTCCAATCCGATCTGTATCACTTGAATCGACAACATAGATCACTGCTTGTGTATTTGGGAAATAGCACCGCCAGTATGGCCTGTCAATATTAGTAACAAAAAATTGCCCAGGACATGGATCCTTTAATCCCAGTCGATCCATTCGTGTTCTGCATATCTCCAACATATATGCAGTACTCCGGTTTTCAATGCTTTTTAGAAACAGAAGGAAAATGGAATAAGCATAACCTTACCTGATACTTGTCTGACCACCTGACATAAGAACAGTTGTGTTAGTTAATCAATTCATATTTTACATAAGAACAGTTGGGAAAAAACAAGGTTATAGATAACATATGAATCTTCTACAGAAACATCAACCACCTAAATGGCTAGAGAAAGGCAGTACTAATCAGTCATTGCCTTTTACTCTAAACTGCATAACCCTCCATCACCCATTTTTCTAATAGAACGATGTCTTTTCAAGATCAAGTAGAGGAAACCATAACATGTAACAAAAGAGTCTGAGATTCAACCTATTATGTCGCCACCAGTTATCAACAGGAGGGGTGCCTTTTCAAGGATGCAAAGTCAATGAAACTCTCAATCATGACATTGCACCCATGAACAAGCATCCTATTTTCTAAATGTGTCGTTGCATTTAGGTCTTCTAAAGCCCACTTTCAATCCTCAGTTGCCCCCAAAGACTACGATTAATGTTCCAGAAGAACCACAAACTGAAACCATTAAAACATGATTGATCTAAATCTATCTAATAACGCTTGTATGTCCTGTAGATCTCGAATTCACTTCCCTATGAAGCAAAAATATATTTAGACAGCTCAAAACGCATTGAGCAGCTTCATCGTTAAAACAACAGTACCGAGACGTACCCAAATCCCAGACCTGAAACTTGATATTGTTGTACTGTACGGTCTCGACGTTAAATCCAATAGCTGCATATCAGAACACAGCAAAATGGAAATATTGAAGCAAATCTCGTTCCCGAGAGCACACCAAATCGAAGATCCGACCGAAAAAATCCAAGAAATGATCCATAATTTATACAAAAACGAGAGAAAAGCATACTTGGAATCGTGGATACCACCTCCCCCATCTGAAGCCGATCTGCGAACACGAAAACAACACACACACACAAAAATAAAAATCAACGCGGCACAAACCAAAAATCATCGAATCGAAAAATCTAGTCATTGAACGTTCAATCCAAGCAAAAAGCGCATCTAAAGGAAGAGAAAGCGTGCGAGAAAGAGAATGAGGGGTTTACAGAGGATGGTGGTTTTTCCAGCATTGTCGAGACCGAGGACGAGGATACGAGCTTCTTTGTTGCCGAGCAGGTTAGAGAACAACCTCGTGAACAAGATTCCCATCGTCTAGCTCTTGAGATCGAACGATCTAAGAGAAATTCTTCCCCAGGATCATTCGAGCTCAGATCTTCCCTTCTTTGAGCAATGGAAGACGAAAAAGATCCATTTTGCAAATTTCATTAATCGTTTCCGTTCTGTTTCTCAAATTTTTTTCCTCCCTGTCAAAACCTCTGAATCGGTTAGAGACTTTTCTCTTTAAGTAATTTCAATAGGCCCATCATTTTTCCTTTTGAGGCCCATCTCAAACCCAAACCGAACCCACGTGTACGACATATATACATGTATACGCATACAGATAGATATATACACAACCGGATTTCGATCTTAATCCTTTGCAGACGAGAAAGACGACGAAATCGAAGATTCCGATCGCCGGCGGTGGGAGAGATGAACCACGGCCAACAATCCGGCAAGGCGAAGCACGAAGAAGATGCTGCTCTCACGGAGTTTCTCGCTTCCCTCATGGATTATACTCCCACTGTATGATAATTTGGAAGTTGTTCATGTACCCTCTGGCCATGAAACCCTTGGGAACAACTGTTTGAGCTCTGATTTCTTTGTTTTCCTTCAGATTCCCGATGAATTAGTGGAGCACTATCTGGCTAGGAGTGGGTTTCAGTGCCCCGACGTGCGATTGTAGGTATTTCCGCCCTTTTTTGTTTCTGTTAAGTTTGTAGTGAAATTTGGCAGATCAGAAACTATTATCAGAATCGTTGTACAGGGATTACGTATTTGGGGTTTTCGTCTCTCCAGTTACCAATCCTCGTTTCACTTTTTTAGTTCTCTTGATGGAAATTTGATCCTATGATTCTATGGCTATTATGGTTTAAAAATGTAGATCTGAAAACTGTGTATGTTATACTACGAAATATGTTTGGAGACAGCATGAGAAAAGACTCTTAATTTCTTAAAATATCTCGTGATTTGTGATCAAAAGATTGGAACTTTATCATGTAAAGATTAGATTCTGCACAGAATTTTGAGGAGGAAATGCATCTTTTGAAAATCTTAACCCTGCTTGTGCGGCTGCTATCTACCTTTTGACATCGCATTGTGTTGTGGCTTGTTTGGTTTTGTCCTCCCTCCCCCTCACATTTTCATGTCCTATGTGTATTTTGCTGCCAATTTGAGTTGTACTTGTATCTCCTTGTTTTGCAGAATAAGGCTGGTAGCTGTGGCTACGCAGAAGTTTGTTGCAGATGTTGCTAATGATGCTCTTCAGTAAGTTGCCATTCCTCCTTTCTCATTGTTTGATGTATTAGGTTCGGAATTGCGTACGTGATATGAAAATGCGATGAAGAGGAGTGGCCTCGGTTTGAATGGAGGAGTTGAGGGGACTTATAAAACCTTTGAGATTGAGTAAACCTAACTATCAGCTATCTGATATTTGGAGCTGAGGTTTGTGGTACAAATGGTCTACACATAAGGGTATTGGAACTAGAGATTCATTGATGGATTATAGTTTTAGAGTGGAACCTAGAATTAGTTTTGTTTCCTGCCTTTCCTCAGCCCCCTAAACATCTGGTCTCAAAAGCATTGCCGAACTGGCCTGTTATGTTGTTAGATCATTGTCATGTAATGTTGATTTATGCACTCTAATGTAGGCATTGCAAGGCAAGACAAGCAACGGTTGTCAAAGACAAAAAACAGCAGAAGGTGGTTCTTTCATTGCAGACTTGAGAATTGTTGTGTACATAATTCGAGAACTAAACACCATGTGATTTTCCAAAGTTACCAACATTGACTTGCTTGAAACAGGATAAACGCTTAATATTGACAATGGACGACCTTTCAAAAGCACTGCAAGAGGTAAACGCTTAAGCATTTCATGTTATGTTCTATGCTTCTAGATATCTCTGCTTTATGCGACATTTGGCCACTGACCTTCTTTGTGTGACGAGAAGATAACAGTACTTCTTATTTCATACTAAAGTTGTAGTGGAGAACTGAACAAAACTCGTTAACTTATGTGTGAAGTTGGTTAGGAAAATGCTTCAATGTTTTAAGACAGAGCATGAAACTTGAGAGAAATTCTGAAGTGATCCTAATGATTTGGACAACATTAGTCAATTATATAGACATTTTTTTTGTCCTCCCATCAAGCTTTAGCCATAATTGTGGATTACTGGATTTGCAGTATGGTGTGAACGTGAAGACCCAAGAATACTTTGCTGATAGCCCTTCAACGGGGATGGATGCCACGGCAAGGGATGAGTGAGCCAGGCTTCTTGCGAAAAGCATTTTCTCTCATCTTCTCCCGTGAGTGTTGTTGGTACTGTTTGTGATGCCATGTTTTCTCTAGTTTTCTGCCAAACAGAATCCGCTTCTCTTCCGTTGGAAATCAGATGTATTCTCTATGGTTTTCAAGAAATGGGCATTTGGCCAATAAGATAATACCACAAAGAGCTAGCCTTGGCCATTCTTTTGCTCACTGCAGCTCTTAAAAGCCCCTTGGCTGACTCAGGGACTGCATTATCTCTCTCCTCTCTTGGGTCTCGACGTCATAGAGGAGGGGGAATGAGTTGAGATCTACAGAAGCTCAAGCTAATAATAAATATGGGTGAGTTGATACTTGGATGGTAGAGAAGTTGAGCCCCGTATATACACATACGTAGTCTCTCTGTACGGTTGTACTTCTTGTGCAGGTACTGATCAAGTGCGTGAATGTTTCTATTCTGATTCACACCCATTCCAAATACAAAAACGTGTTGCATCAGTTCCTTTTTCCGCATTTGGAGTGAATTCAGTTCTAACCATTTCTTGAATCATATCATTGTGCTGCACTTGTCCAAATATCGTACCTAGAAAATGATAACGAGTCCTGTGTGAACCACAGCTGAACTCATTCTCGTCTCTGATGCTCCATTGGGTGAAACCAAAAGATCAAACCGAAGAACCCGAACATCAACAAATCTTTGCCCGAGTGTCGGCAGAAACAGAAGAAACATAAGCATGCAGAACCGGAGATTCGGATCACAAGACATCACCATGTGCGTGATGATGATTCTTGGACAAAAACAGATAAATCATCAACCAATATAAAGAAAGAACAGATCTAACATTACAAAGTATGTGAAAATGTGTGGGAATCTATTACAAGGCCTCAACCAAAGCAGTTGCTGGAATTCAAAAGGTTATCTATTGCGCAAACACTAGAAGTCTACAAATTTATCTATGGTGATAATCTTCTCCAAAGTTCAAGACCAAAAAATAAAAAGCCAAGTACTTGGAGTTCTCCGCCATTGACTCTTAACTATTACCAGAGACCACAAAGAAGCACAATCTATATTCGGCAACCCAATATCGAAGTTTTGCTTTTACTTGCAGGATCCAAAACTCGCTCTCATCATGAAAAAAAACACACGAAAACAGACAGCAAATAAGTAGCAGCAACTGCTACTCCTATCACCAGACAAAACAGAACAGTGACTGTGAGAGCGAGGAGTTTACCCAAATGTTAAACATCACTCAGCTCTCCCCAACCTCCCCGAGAACAAATTTAACACGGCCATGCAAATAGATCGTTAACTAATCTGAAGTATCCTGCAAATGTAAGAAAACTAATAAACCGCTGCTATTAACCTAATGGATATAAATGCACTAAAAAAGGATAGACTTTTTAAAAGGGAGAAACTAAGGTTGCACCTAATTTCTACCATGGAACAGATAGTGAGTACCTGCCAAGTAGTAGTGTGTTTGGAGCAGCTCCTCATCCATTCTAAGTTTAAGAAAAGAAAAGCCAGTGAAGTTCGAAGAAGGCCACACTGGAGCTGAAGAGGTTTTCAAACATAAGGCATCTAGAGGTGAAGCAGAAGCCAGTTGGGTTAAACATATCGAAGATCCCATAAAGCAGGCAGAGCTACTAATGAAGATGCCACAGAGGAGAGTAGAGAAGCAGATAACCAATGAAGCAGAACCTCGACACACTAAAAATGGAGAAAAAAAAAGCAAGGACATTTAGCAGAACTTCTAAGAAGCATTATGTCTTCAAGAACTTGGAGTGAATTTAAAAGTGTTTTACCTATAGCAGATACACAACTACGCTTCATACCCAAACGCACAAGTAGCATGACAGCAATTCAAAAGTAGCAAGCTATCCAAATCCATCTGGAGGTGAGAGTCTCAACCAGATAAAACATGTTCCCTTAGTGAATTTCACAGATAGTAATTGTCCTTCAGTCTTCTTTTCTTCTCAGCAACCAGCACTTCCAGATTCGACAGTTGGTTATCCTGCCAACAGTTCTCCAGTTCTCAGCTCCGGCTTCTGTGCCTGTCTTTCACACCATTTCTGCAGAAACAAGGGCAGAAAAAATTCAGATGTATATTTATATTTACACTAGGCAGGAGCGAGAGCTGTGTAGAGAAAACACAAACATTCAGTTAAAGTTCAATTTAACATGACCTAACTGTGAATGTCAAACATATCAAATCAATGTTTTGAATCACTAAATTGAGAAAATGTAGCATCACAAATAGAAACTGTAGAAAAACAGGAAGTTCACCCATTAGCATAAGGCGCCTCCTCGCGTCCTCGGTAAGCTGGTGACCTGCGGCCAAGAGGAGAAGGACTGCGACGCCTTGGAGATTTTCCACGGGGGCTGTAACTCCTGAGTCCAGTGAAACATGTTACTAACTGGCTTACAGAGTAATAAATAGTTGCAATCCGCCGATTAGAAACAAGAGAGGAGAAGATTGAATAATCGAGTTATATGACCTCCGTCCATAGCTTGGGCTCCTTCTGTATCTCGGGCTGCGACTGCGGCTGCGGCGCCTCCCAGAGCCACCACGAGAACGGCATTCACGTGCAAAATGACCAGGTTCTCCACACTCATAACACTTTAGATCAGAACCACCACGACCACGGCCGCCGCCGCCACCGCCTCCACGACCCCCACCACCGCCGCGGTTGTGAGACTGCTCCACCCTCCATCCATTCTTGCCTATCATAACCAATATCGTGCACATACATAACTCACTCAAGAGCCTTTCCAAGAGCAACAGGACAAATCATAGATTTATAAGTGACGGAAAATCTTTAAGAAATTTGGGTTCCTTCAAAAGTTAATAATTTTTCAAAGTCCATAAAATGAGAATCCTAGAATAACACTCATTTTTCATAGTGTATATACTATAAAAAAATAAAGCAACATCAACACAGAAATACAGGCATACCATCTAAATCACGAATGGCATCTCGGGCATCCCTCGGATCATCAAAATCAATGAAGGCATAACCAGGTGGCCTTCGAGCAACCCATACACTGCAGATGAAAAAACATTAAAGATTCGACCACAAACGCAAATAATCAGCTGGGAGGAACTATTCTCACTTCCGAATGGTTCCATAAACGCGAAACTCATCCTCGAGTTCACGCTCAGTAACTCGTGGATCCAAGTTACCCACATACACACGCGACATTGCTCCTGTTACCTGTCAATCGCATCGATCGAAACATAAAAACGCATACTTAAATCATGAACAACAAACCGATTTCATCTTCCAAAAACATAATTGCAGAATTTAAAAGATTCCCGGTTAAAATTTTCAACAAGAATCGATGAGATCTCGTTCATATCGCAACATCAAAACTTTTCACACCCCATGGAAATCAATAAAGAAACAGATGGATCTCCACTCGAAGAACCATAGAATCTAACAGGGTTAAAGGATCTAACTCTTTAGATCTACAAACACTAACAAAGCCTTCAAATTAAACGTATCGGAGAAAAGCTCAGGTACATGAAACATAAAGCGAGCACGAGAGCGCGACAAACGAAATGAAGAACCGAGGAGGATTAGGTACCTGGAGAGTGCAGAGGGAAGAACACAGAGAAAACTGAGCCGCTCAGAAAAGGAAAAGCTTGATTTTTTTTTTCTTCTTCTCCTACTCCTGAGATTAGGGTTTCAGAATCTGAAAAATGAAGAAATAAATACCCGATCGGATTTTTTTCGGGCCGTCAACTCGCCAAAATTAAAAGCCCAACAAAGGAGAGTCTATGTTAATGGGCTTATAAGTGGGCCTTATATGGGCTTTGCATATCCTTTTTTTTCTCCATTTTATAAATCCGTCATCAAAAAGAACGATACAATTTTTATATAGCTTTTGATGAATATACGTTTTCATTATTTTTATGTATATGTGTATATAATATATAACGCTAAATGTTTCAGAATAAAAAAATGGTCTGAGTTAGCTAACAAATTTGGAAGCTGAAATAGCTCCTTTTTACTGCTTATTTTAGGATTTGAATTTTTTTCGTTTTTAGAAAAAAAACTATACATATTCTTTTTCAATATTTCTGAATTTGATTGTATTACTTTTTTTAAAAAAAAAAATCGATTTTATTTTGGTTTTTTTAATTATTTTTGTATTATGCTTAGTTTCAGTTTAAATTATAAAGAATCAAAATGTATCCCATTTAGTTTTTATATAGAATTCAATTTAAATATAATTATATATTATTCTGGTGAGATAAATTTGAAACACAGAATACAAGTTTATTGGGTAAGTAACTTAACAAGAAGGTATACCCAAAAACCTATAAATTTTATATATATAGACACTTGTAGATCTTGTCTAATATATAATTATTTAGCTTTTCTATAATTAAATTTAAATAATTCAACCGATAAAATAGGAATACAAAACGTTTGTCTCGCTGCGAGTTTGAACCTTAAATTTTAGAATAACGACATATATTCCAAATCACATTATTAATCTCTAACTCAAAATTTATTTGAATCTTAGTTCAAGATATTTAGTTATCTAAAAAAAATCAGGCTTCTCCATGGAACGCAACAGGAAAAAAAAAAGATTAAATAATAAATTATATAATGGCTTGAACAGGTAAACAATAATAATTCAGATTAGGGGGGTTCCCATTGTATGCAAATTGATAGATACAACATGCATTTTAACGGACAGCTTTCTTCCACCAACTTGTGAACAAAAACACAAAACACTTTGAAAATGGAATTTGTTGGTATCGATTCGTTCATACCAAATAGGTACAGTGACTTCGTTTTAGTATTCAATTATTTCAAACCAAATTTTAATTTAAGATTTGATTGGATATCATTTCATTTAAATAAAAATGGATTATTATACGCATTTGCTTGAGATTCAATACTCCTCGAACCGAAATCAAATATCTAAAAGAAACTCCACATATATATATATATATTAAACAGTAGAGACGTTTGTCCTAAGTCCAAAGTTCAGCTGACCCCATCCGAAAAATATTGAGTTTCGAATTTAAAATTATCGATCCAAAAAATTTTAGATTTTCATACCCAATTCAAATCAAGATTTAGATCGATCCAAAAATCAGATTACTTTTTTAAAAAATAAAAAATATAAAAAATAATTTGATCCGACCCGGATCCAAATCTTACAAAATTGGATTTCGGGTTTCATTGTATAGGTTTGAAAAAATTCGGGTCACTCCAAATCACAACCCAAAACTCTCTGACTAAGAGTAGACTCATACTAAATCGGAGTCTACTCTTGATTAATATCCAAATATGAAATTGTTTTCTAATACAAACTATTAAATTTTATTAAAATTCATATGTAAAACAATTTCAAATAATTTGGTTAAAATTATCGACAATATGGTTAAAGGTTGTGTATATAATTGTTTTAGATTTCAAAAATTAAAATATTTTTTAACACATTTCAATATTTCGTATATTTATTTATTAAATTAAAAATTGATATATATTATTTTAACATATTTTATAAAATTCAGGATATTTTTATGAAATTCTACCTATCTATAAATACCAGTGACATAATTAAATTTTGTTTACCAAGCTCGAGAGCAATCATAATTAAGTGATCATATATATAATGGATCCGACGGTAGGTCACCGGGACCACCCGGTTGCCTGAGGACCGGTGGTCAACAAGTTCTCTATTTTTTTTCCCTATCAAAAGAAAAATGGGTCCCACCTATTTGATCAAACTTTTATTTTTCCTTCTTTTTCGTTTTTAACTATTTATATTTGTCGTTATTATTCTCATCGCTGTTTACCAAATATAAAGACTATATTAATATTATTATCCATAGTCAACTATTGTTGCGTATAATATAATGTTTCGTTATTTTGCTGGTCCATCATCTGTGTTGATTAGGTGAGTTAAAGTCAGGGAAATAATTTCATTGTTGTTGCTGTTGTAAATTATATTATTCACTACAATTTCAAGTCAAGACGGCTTCTAGAAGTGTAAATCTTGATATTGTTATCATTTAGTATTTTATTTGAAAAAAATGAAACTTGCTTCTAAAATAGAGAGAAATAATTTTAAAAACCCGTCACTGTAAAAGATAAAATAATTACGTGAGATACATATATATATATATATATAACTGTTTCAATATAAATAACTATATATATATACACACACACATTTGAATCCGATTGGTGCTAGGGGTGTCAATCAATGTGGTGTTTGACAAGTATGAACGTCTCGAGTAATTTTATCATATATGTTTCCAAAATACAATAAAATAAAATAGTAATAATCTTACAACATGTTAAAAATAATAAATACGTTATGAAGATATGCGTGTTGAAATTTCATGGCATACGAACAAATAGTGCCAAAAAACTTTGCTTGAATTCAAACGGAAAGGAAAAAGATAACGTAAATTTGATCAAGAAGTCAAAAAATATTTATTCTTCCTCACTAAAATCCATTTTTAATAAACAAAATGAATTTCGGAGTGCCGAGACTTCTTTAAAATAGAATAAATAAGACAACATTAATCGAATAATGATCATAACAATTTATTTCGCAATTCGCAATAATGATAACAATAATAATGGAGTAATTCATTATATGTCAAAATTTTCTTTAAAGACGAAATAAATTGACATGGGGCCCACATTCCAAGAAACCAAAGCTGTGATTGCCTTATTCCATGGAAACAATCAATTTAATCTCAGCCGTTGGATCAACACTTGCCCGGTTGACTAAAACCCATACCTTTGACCCGGTCAGTCACCACCTTCCCCTTTCCCATATATATCTCCGCTTCTCTCCTCTTCTGCATCTCCACCGTATTCGTTTCTTCTTCAATGGCTGTCGATCTCATGAGTTTCCCTAAGATGGATGATCAAACGGCTATAAAGGAAGCTGCATCGCAAGGCCTAGAGAGCATGGAGCACCTGATCCGGACCCTCTCCCACCGGCCTCATGGCAACGTCGACTGCTCCGAGCTCACCGACTTCACTGTCTCCAAGTTCAGAAAGGTCATCTCCCTCCTTAACCGAACCGGTCACGCTCGGTTTAGACGCGGACCAGTTCACTCCTCCGCCGCCTCCCCTTTGCCGGCGACGTCGAATCCGCCTCCGATATCTGCTCCTGCGCCGGTGATTGTGCCGGCGAACCTCGTTCAGTCGAATCAGCAGAGCCTGACGCTCGATTTCTCCAGATCAAGTATTTTCGGCTCCAAGGCAAAATCCGGGGAGCTCGAGTTCGCCAAGGATAGCTTCAGTGTCTCGTCGAACTCTTCCTACATGTCGTCGGCGATTACAGGCGACGGCAGCGTCTCCAATGGGAAACAGTGCTCGCACGGCAAGCCACCTTTGGCCGGTCATCCTTGCAGGAAGAGATCCCTCGAGCACGAGCACAAGCACTCTGAAGGATTTTCCGGCAAGATTCCCGACGGTAGCAACGGCAAGTGCCACTGCAAGAAGAGGTACTTTTACTTGTTTCTCGTCACCGACTCGTCGTCTTAGCATTTCTCCGTCAACTTTCATTAATTAACTTTTTTGACTAGCAATACAAGATGAATTCATTAATTAGTTATATACAAATAGTAACTGAACCAAGTAAACCGGTATGGTTCATTCTTAACCAGTCGGTTTGGTTACCTACGGTATACGGCAATTGCGGCGCGTGGCGCGCGTGCAACGGCTAGTGAACGTGCTTCGGCACAGTTTTTGGAAAAGAAACTCTTTGTTTGACCGTAGACTACTTTACATCCCGAAACACACTCAGGTCACGTTAGCTCCTCGGCGCACGTTAAACTAATTTGTGTTATTTTGTTTTGTTTTGTTGTTATTTAATTAAAGCAGGAAAAATCGGGTGAGGAGGAGCGTTAGGGTTCCGGCGATAAGCTCGAACATCGCTGATATTCCATCGGACGAGTACTCGTGGAGAAAGTACGGGCAGAAGCCGATCAAGGGCTCACCATACCCACGGTAACTAGAGTAGACCCGCGTCTCTCCGCCGTTGATTCTGATTCGTCTTGTTCGATCTGACGGTGGAGATTGTGTCTGTTCCATCGCAGGGGTTATTACAAGTGCAGCAGTTTCAGAGGATGTCCGGCGAGGAAACACGTGGAACGAGCAGCGGATGATCCGAAGATGCTGACTGTGACGTACGAAGGAGAACACCGTCACGACCAGACCGCGGCGCGGGGGAATATTTCTCCCGGTTTGGTGTTTGATTCGAAATGAGGGGGTGGAAATGCAAAGAATGAAAAGCCTGGGGTGGAAATTAGAAATGTGATCGATTAGTTGGGTTAGTCCTTTCATCTTTTGTAATATTTTGAGCTGTAGAGAGGTTTTGGATTGTAAATTCTTTTAATTATAGATTAAACGAAGATAGAAATGTTGTTTTATTTTATCTTAATGTAAAAATTCCATGCATTTCGAAATTTTGCTATGGTGGAATATATATATATATATATATATATATATATATATATATATAAATATTAATATAATTGATTCTGATTCGTCTTGTTCGATCTGACGGTGGAGATTGTGTCTGTTCCATCGCAGGGGTTATTACAAGTGCAGCAGTTTCAGAGGATGTCCGGCGAGGAAACACGTGGAACGAGCAGCGGATGATCCGAAGATGCTGACTGTGACGTACGAAGGAGAACACCGTCACGACCAGACCGCGGCGCGGGGGAATATTTCTCCCGGTTTGGTGTTTGATTCGAAATGAGGGGGTGGAAATGCAAAGAATGAAAAGCCTGGGGTGGAAATTAGAAATGTGATCGATTAGTTGGGTTAGTCCTTTCATCTTTTGTAATATTTTGAGCTGTAGAGAGGTTTTGGATTGTAAATTCTTTTAATTATAGATTAAACGAAGATAGAAATGTTGTTTTATTTTATCTTAATGTAAAAATTCCATGCATTTCGAAATTTTGCTATGGTGGAATATATATATATATATATATATATATATATATATATATATGAAGATTAATCGAATAGTTGTTATTTTATTGATGTTTTATAAATTTTTTGTTTAACTTTTGAAATTTCAATATTCTTTAAATTTTAGTGTAATGGTGACTAGTGGCTGAATGGAAGAATGGAAAGTTAACGGGGTTTTTTTATTGAGTTGTAGGATTGTTTTTTAATTATAATTGATAATTATAATTATAATTTGTTTAGTGGATTGATGCGAGTTATGGGTCACTTAATCACGTGATGCTGTCGGGAGAATATTAATTTGACAATTATTCTCCGATTTTTGTATTGTCAAGTTCTCATTTGTTCTCACCCGCTTCTGCTGTTCATGATATTTTCGAGCATCTGCTTGACGTATACCAAAATCAAGTCAAACAAAAAATTTATATAATAACCATGTTTTAAAAATAGAATTGTATTCAAATTACATATAATTAAATAAAGTTTATTTTTCTAAATTTTAGATTGAATTAAAAGTAATTAAAATTTGAAGAGACATAAAAAACAATCATTTTTTAATTAAAAAAAAATCACATAAAAATACATAAATTCTACAAAAAAAATACATCAATTTTATCTTGACAAATAAATACATAAATGTTTATATATAAAAAAATTATTATCTCTTTAAATTAAAATTTTAAGTTAATTCCGTACACATCGACGATATTATTAAGATCTGAATACAAAATTATTTCGAATAAATAATGTTAAGAATTGTTAAAATTTTATATATGATACAAATTCAAATAATTTAAGTACAATAATAATAGAAATAAATGTAATCATTAAAAATTAACGCACATCAACATCAATCAACATCAATATCGTTTTAGTCTCACGTTTATTTGGAATCGGTTCATTAAAAATTAAATATATTAAAAATAAATAGAGAAGATGAAACTTTTATATGTATGTTTTTTTAATTTATATAGTTGAGAGTTTTAAATTAGAAATTTTATTTATGAAAATTAATTTTAGTAAGTTGTAAAATTTAAGATTTTTTTGTACCTATATATTAGTATGGCTTAAATACATATTATTTTCTTACTTGCTGTATAAGAATGATCGCGTTGCACTACACCGTATAAGCTTGCCATGTTCTTACTTACTTATATGTTAAGAAATATCATGTTCAATTTTTTTCCTATTAGAACGTAGTTAATGTAGAATCCTATGTTGTAAATTTTATTATAAAAAAATGAAAATCAAAGGAAAATTTTAATACTTTTGATGTCAGAAATATAAAATATTATTCTCTACAAAATTATTTATTATCTACCCAACCGTTATAGAATTGTACGTTGATCTAAACGCAAAAGGACAAATAATATAGTCTTATAATTAATTTTTACTTGTGTATTTGGTGAGATGTGAAACTATAATTAGTTGTCTATCTCTGACTTGAATCAATCAACAGATTGGTGACAACACCTCTATATTTGATTATTCACTCCATAATGTATATGATATCATTTATTCATATAAAATAAAGGGAAAAAAAACATGAAGAGAGCTGAAAACTGATTGATTAATTATGTTTTTATTTAATCGAACTCAAATTAAACTAAATACAGTTAAAAAAGAACACGTGAATCGTAATCATTTTTAAAATAACAATTTTTAATTTCAAATTAAATTAATAAAATCTAAAACAAGGTAATATAAAAACTTAATATATCATTTAGAAAATGAAATATCTAAAAAAACAAAAAATGAGAGCGGATGGCAATTCGAAATATAAAAACGTGGTCCATTGTGATGGCTATTCTACATTTCCTTACATTAAAATATACACGACAACAGCATCGACATTAACAAATAACATTTTGTTGGTCAAACAACATTAATGGATGACCATGTGAAATATATTATGGGCTTGGACCCTCTTATTCTACGCTGCTCGATATTCACAATAATTTAAATTTATTTCGAAATGGACTAAGCAAAGCAACCTAAACATGCGAATCCTTGATTAAAAAATCGTAAACATGTGGATTTATATAAAGTCAATGACACAAAAAAAAAAAAAAGTGAGAACCTTAACTAATATATTAGTTGCCATAATATTTTAATTTAATTATGAGAAATAATAATATCACTAACCGTGAAGTTTAGTTTCTTACAACAACTAATTAGATTAACCTAAACCATGGATTTTCAGTCTAGACAAGGATAAAACAAATTAGACTTTAGTCAGATAATCAATAGTAACTATATGACATGGTTCATGGATTAAATCCTAAATAAAAACATTAATAATAATAATAATGCAATATATATTTTCTATCCATCTTACAATTAAATAGAAAAAGGCTTTACAAATAATAATCTTAAATAACTCTAAACTTAGTGGAATAAGACGGAAAATAAATTATATGAAATTTAATTAAGATGAAAAATAAATGTGAAAAGAATAAACGTTATTTGTTTATGGCAAAGTTTTAACCGAGAGAGAGAAGCCTTCGTGCTCCACTGTCATACGCGCTTTGGCTGCTTCCGTTCGCATCGAAAAGGAGAAAAATATGTTGTAAAAAAAAGAGTTTATTTTTTCTCTCTGATTCTTTTTTTTTTTGTTTGGATCTCTCTCTCTGTAGAGAAGTCAGAGATTTCGATTCTTCCGCCAAGCTCTACTTGTCCCGAGATCGATTCACCGCCGGTGACCATCGTAGTAGAGGAGCCCTAGCTGCTTCGGTATCATCGTCTCCGTTTCCTCAGCTGCAGTGATTTTGGTTTTTTTTTTTGGGCTTTTCTGGTTTGTGCTCTTGCATTCCGGTGGATTTTTGGTAGCTGAGAAAATTTCCGGTTCCGGGATTTGATTTTCCTGGAAAGTTCGTGCTGGTAGTTCTGGGTTTGGTTTGATTAGTTGAACGTTGGGTAAGAGGAGGAGGAAAAAAAGAAGACGATGAGGAATTTTATAGATATGAACCCAGGTTGAAGCAGAGCTCCTGCTGCATTCGCTTACATAGTTCTTGCTTAGCAATCGAAATCGAAAAGTCATTCATCTTTCTTCGTCTTTGCTGGAAAATAAATTGAAGCTGATAGGTTTTCTTCGAGTGAGATTTCTGGGTTTCTAGGGTTTTCTCCATTAGGTTAATGGCGGAGTCCGTGAGAGAGGATAAGGGCATTCAGAGTTTAATGGCTGCAAGGAAGTCATTGAAGCTGAACTTAGAGAAATCGAAAACCCTAGGGGAAGCTCTTCAGAAGACTGCACCCAGGTTTGATGAGATTATGCAGAGATTGCCCTCCCTCGAAGCAGCAGTCCGGCCCATCCGTGCTGATAGAGACGCCCTTCTAGCCGTCGGTGGCCACATTAACCGAGCTGTTGGCCCTGCCGCCGCTGTTCTTAAGGTGTTTGATGCTGTCCATGGTCTCGAGAAATCTCTGTTATCAGACCCGAAGAATGATCTCTCTGGCTACTTAAGGGTACTGAAGCGGCTAGAGGAAGCATTGAAGTTTCTAGGGGACAACTCCGGGTTGGCTATTCAATGGTTGGAGGATATAGTCGAGTACTTGGAAGATCACAATGTTGTAGATGAGAAGTACCTTTCTAATCTGAAGAAATCTCTGAAAAGCCTCCGGGGACTGCAGAACGATGGGGGGAAAGCTCGGCTTGATGGTGGGCTTCTAGATGCAGCTTTAGACAAATTGGAAAACGAGTTCCGAAGGCTTTTGTCAGATCACAGTGTGCCCATTCCTATGGAATCTCCATCGTTGCTCGGTGAACAAGCCTGCATTGCTCCATCTCCATTGCCCGTGACTGTTATCCATAAACTGCAAGCTATCCTTGGAAGACTCAGAGCTAATAACAGGCTAGACAACTGCATTTCGATATACATTGAAGTAAGGAGCGGAAATGTTAGAGCTAGTTTGCAGGGGCTTGACTTAGATTATTTAGAGATCTCGGCTTCTGAGTTCAGCGATGTGCAGAGCATAGAAGAGTATATAGCTCAGTGGGGAAAACATTTGGAGTTTGCTGTCAAGCATTTGTTCGAGGTGGAATTCAAGCTCTGCAATGATGTTTTCGAGAGGAACGGTTCGGATTTGTGGATGAGTTGCTTTGCCAAGATTGCAGCTCAGTCGGGTATCATCACATTCCTTCAGTTCGGAAAAACCGTTACAGAGAGCAAGAAAGATCCCATCAAGCTTCTGAAGCTGTTAGATATCTTCTCTTCCTTGAATAAACTTAGAGCAGATTTCAATCGCCTTTTTGGTGGAGCAGCATGTATAGAAATCCAAAACCTTACAAGGGATCTCATCAAAAGAACAATCGATGGGGCGGCTGAAATATTCTGGGAGCTCCGAGTTCAGGTCGAGATTCAGAAACAGAGCCCGCCTCCCATTGACGGCGGTATTCCTAGACTAATCAGTTTCGTCACCGATTACTGCAATAAGCTTATCGGGGATAAGTACAAATCCTCTCTGACACAGGTTTTGCTCATACATAAGAGTTGGAAATCAGAGAGGTTCCAAGAGGCTGTCCTTACAGTCGAAGTTGTAAACATCATCAAAGCTGTGGAGCAAAATCTGGATGGATGGATGAAAGGATACCTAGACCCGACGCTCTGCAATCTATTTGCCATGAACAACCACTGGCATTTATACAAGAATTTGAAGGGTACGAAAATCGGGGATCAATTAGGAGAATCGTGGTTAAAGGAACATGAACAATACAAGGATTACTATGCTACTGTCTTCCTTAGGGACACCTGGGGTAAGCTTCCGAACCACTTAAGCCGAGAAGGTCTTATACTTTTTTCGGGTGGGCATGCCACTGCACGTGATCTCGTCAAGAAGAGACTCAAAGCCTTCAATGATGCGTTCGATGAGATGTACAAGAAGCATTCCACTTGGGTCATACCGGAAAGAGATTTGAGAGACAGAACCTGTCAGCAGATGGTTCAGGCCATTATTCCGGTTTACAGAAGCTATATGCAAAACTACGGTCCTCTCGTTGAGAAGGACGGGAGTTCAAGCAAGTACGCGAGATACACAGTGCAAGCTCTCGAGAAGATGCTCTGTTCTCTTTACATGCCCAAACCCTTGCGGTACAGCAGCTTCAATGGAACCCCACCGAGCGGGAAGCTCAAGAATGAAGTAGATCTCAGACGCACTACTTCCGCCGTTGTCTGAAGAGAGGCCATCCTGTTCTTGCTTCGGAAGCTGAATCTGAGAAATGAACCGACATAATTCAGACGGCACCCGGAATCTGTCCCCTGAAAACCGAGCCAGAACGAGGAAGCAGAAGAACCTCGGATACGTACATAGATACCGTTCAATCAGGTATAGCTTTTCTCTTTTCCTTTGCTTTCTCTCCCCATTTAGCCATCGATCAAAGCCTATATCCATGCCATGAGATCAGCAGAAACTCGGTTCATCAAAGTTGAAGATTTCATGTAGTGTTCGTTCAATCAGGTTTAGATTATTCATTTAATTTATCTGCCTATCAGAAGAGCAAAAGCCATAAAGCTATGTTTCTTCTTCTGTTAGAAGAGAAATGGCCTTGTTTGATCTTTCTTGCTGCTGCTGTTGTCACTTCTATGGAGTTTTGCTACTCTCCATTGTGCTTAGATCCTTAGTTTAAGACAATAAAGGGAATGCAGCCCAAAATAAATAAAAAAAAAACCCGGTTTTTATCTGTTCTTCATTTCTGTCTTCAAGAATATTATTCGACCGAAGATTGTGTATCCAGGTCTAACTATGTTCACGTTTCTGTGTGTATATATATATATATATATGTATATATATGTGTGTGTATCAACGGAATTTACATAGAGATGTCATAGCGCATTACCTTTGTATTAAATGTGATGAGTTCTTCACAATTTTGTAGTGCTATTTTAGGTGCCTTTCATTGTCGAATCATATTATGCAAATTTTTTTTTTTCAAACATCATATAGATATAGATAGATGCTCATTAATGTAAGTCATAATACATTTAGATATGCAATTTATTCGTGTTATTTTAGGGACTTTTTTTGTTATTGTTCTAGAGGTCTTTTGAAATAAAATCTACTTTCCGTGATGAAAAATCTTTTATCTTGTATATGTTTGGAGAAAATCTAAAATTATGAAAAGTTAATATAAATCTAAAATTTATATATTAATGTGTTTTCTATTTGGTTTATATTTTTTTTAATCTATACTTATTATTCGTGCGTAAAATGTGGGATATGATATTTTATCTAAGAGCAAACGATATTATTAGTACCAACTTGTCATAACCAATCGAGTGGTGTGAACAAAAGAGACCAAAAAAACCCCAAACATAATAATTACTACCAAACAAAAACCATATCCTTCACATATATTTTATGTAATAAGAACATTTAATTGTGTTTTCTTAATATAAAAAGGAAAATGAATAATTGGATATGGAGGTTCCCCACATGAAGATATTGTAAAAAAAAAGGCCTAAGGAACAGTGGACTTGATGATTTTGCCACATTTAATAAATGATTTTAATTTTGTCACTCAAAAGAGATAATGTTAGGCTCTTTTATACTTGCCTCATCATAATATTAATCATATTATATATATATATATAAGTTGTTATGAACAGTTGGCATTGAATACCTAACCAAGCTTATCATTGATCATGCTAACGGATATTAGGAAGATAAAGATACAAAATCATACCATATATATATATATATATATATATATATATCTTATGAAACAAATCTAAAACAAATATTAATATTTTTCTCTCGAGCGGATTTTCTCACTAAATCAATACTTTTGGTTTGAATGTTGTAAACATAAATAATAGGAAAATAGTATAGTTTTCCCTTGTTTGTGATACCAACAAGATTCTTCTTCACATATTTAAGACATGGATAGTTATCTTATTTTCTTGTAGTTTCATTTTTAAGTTAAAAGATTATAATTACCAAAATTTCATATTTTTTTTCTAAAATATCAATTTGTTTCATATGATCTCTATCTGTCTTGGGAATAAAAAAAGGAATCTTGTGCATTTCATTTTCCAAAAATATTCAACATAGTCATAGATAAAATATGTAGAAATTAAAGGAAAGAAGGTCCAAAAAATGGAAAACTATGACAAGCGGTTCATCCATATGTAATAATAAGGGTCCATGCTTAATATATATTTATAATCCTAAAATCACCAAATAGATAATATTTGTACTAATCCACTCGGCTTAATTGTTCTCATCCTTGACCAGTCAAAGTTCTTGCTTCCCCATTAATTCTTCGTTGCACGTTCTTTTCCATATATAATGACATTATTAATTATATCCTTTTTAATTTTTATAAGAACAAATAAAGAATAAAATCTCCGATATATCCTATATATTGATTATATACCATCTACTACTTATTTTACCCCGTTTGTGTATATATATGCGTAGAATTACATTAATGAATAATGCGTAGATAACTAAAAGAATATAATATACTTATTCTATACATATATATATACACTTGTAACATTTGATTTAATTAGATATATATGAAAGTTTATTCTCTATATTTCGTAAGTTTTTTTTAAATGATTATCTGCATATATAATTTAAAAGAATAGTAATAATAATAATAGTAGTAGTAGTAGTAATGTTTTGGTAACATGTGTTTATTGGATGTCATTTTTGTAATATTATGGTTATAACTAGGGATGTCAAACGAGCCGGCTCGGACCAGCTCGTTTCGAGCCAGCTCATTTTCAGTCCAACTCGTTAAGTCTATTTTTATTTGGGCCAGAAAATTTCTGACTCAGTCCAAGTCGCTTAGCTCGCGAGCCGGCTCCCGAGTCGGCTCATATTTTTCTAAATATCTAAAAAAAAATCATATCAAATTATATAAAATCATTTCCAAATGATATATCAACATAAAAAAACATACCAATACATCCAAATCATACTTATATTCACAATCACAATCTATATACAAAAAATCATTTTCAAATAGATAAAATCATAATCCATCCATGTACAAAAAACCATTTTCAGATCTTAATCCATCCATATACAATTAGATCTTAATCCATATACAAAAAACCATCTTCAGATCAAAATATCATATCAACAATATCACTACTTTCAAGTTTCAACGTAAAAATTTTTTTTAACTCCAGCTCCCGAACCAGCTCGCGAGCCAGCCGAGCTAGCTCGTTTAGGCTCGACTCGTGGCGAGCTGGTTCACTCAGCCCATTTTTATTTGGGTTTAGATATTCTTGGCTCGACTCGGTAAAAAAGGAGCTAACCTCGAGTCGGTTCGCGAGCTCGGCTCGTTTTGACATCCCTAGTTATAACATTATCGTATCCAAGTGTTGTAATATATAGTTTTAACTTATCGATATATAATTACAAACCATAGTAGAAAAGGGTTTATTACACAATGTTAATAATCTTTTTTTTTCCAACAAAAAGTCTAAGGTTTTATCGTAGAATAAAAATAATAAATTCCCTATTGTCAAAAAATATTTGTTCTCTATAATTTGTCTTCAACAAACAAACAAAAATCAAAAAATGGATAATGGATAAGGTCGATATATTGTGTGATCCGACCACCGAACTTTTGGTACAACGACAAACAGAGAGTTACCCTAAACGTTCGGACACGGACCATCGATCAGCCACTCTCCTTTCGACACGTCATTAAGAACGTGTCAAACGTCAAAGTCTCCGTTAGCGTAAACGGACGAGCACTGTGCTATATTTAGTACATGTGGGTATAAACACGTAAACACTTGCTCACTCGTATACATGGTATATACGATATCGTATACATATACGGTCGTATTATAAATATTAGCCTTGTCCCTTCGTCTTATCTCTTATTCCTTTTTTTCTTCTGTGTCTGGACATTTTCTCTTATTTTCATTTCTTTCTCTCTTCGCTCACTTTGTCTAAAAATTCCTTAACCTGCGCCACACCGGGGAGCTTAAACTGCGCACCTCGCCTGAGAACGGGAAAAACAAAGAGACGGGCAATCGCCAATTGGTGACAGCTGAATCTTACACGGCGTTGATCCGCCGGAACAATGGAGATTTTGGTGGGTCCGACGTTTGGGATCGACGCGGCGTACGTCAGAGGACGGAGCGGCGTCGCGGCGCAGGATAAGAAGGCGGTTCCTGCGGGGGCTCTGTTCATGGCGGAGGAATCTGGACCGGGTATGGCCCAGATCGGGTCGGCGAGTCGGATCGTGTTGAGAGGAGGTGTTGAGTTATCACCGGAGGAGTCGTCGGAGAGTTCATCGTCGATCGGTGCTCCGGGTGAGAGCAGCGAGAACGATGACGAGGAAGACGACGCCGTTTCATCCCAAGGAGGAGGATTGGGTTCCTTCACCTCTCTGAACGATTCTTTGCCAATAAAGTACGTTCCTATTTAATCGATCTGAATTCTCTGCATAATTCCCCATAAGATCATGTCATCTCTCGTAATTTTCCACAAAAGTTGATAACTTTCACAAGATGAATATGACCAGACAACAAGCGAAGGTTTGAACAGTGATGTCGTTATGCCAAGAGACGAAACCTTTGATTGCATCTGTAATCTGTTTCGTTTGAATCTCTCGTGTGGTTTCAGGAGAGGATTATCGAGTCATTACGTGGGTAAATCGAAATCGTTCGGGAATCTGATGGAAGCAAACGTCGTGAAGAATCTGGAGAAAGCCGAGAATCCATTCAACAAGAGGAGAAGATTGCTGATAGCGAACAAGCTCAGGAGGAGAAGAAGCGGAAGATCGTCGTCTTCTTCACAGTTCTACGCTTGGAAAAACCCTAATTCCATGCCTTTGCTTGCGCTCCAAGAATCCGACAACGAGGATCATGATGAATGCGATGACAGCGGTGATGATGGTCGAACTCAGTTGCAGGAGAAGAGGAACATGGTGAAGAACAGCGAGTTAATGGCTCAGACACAGAGCTGTTTTTGCCTGAGTAGTTTGCAAGAAGTAGATTAATTAAGATTGGAGGAGATTAAAGGAAATTAAGGAAGATTAGCGAGGAGAGGTTATAATTAATCAAATGGTTATTGGGTTTAGTTAATTTATTTAAATAACATTATCAGAGACAGAAGTTTATGCGTTTGACTGAATGTGCTAATATTATCCTAATCACAGCTAATAAACTTTGGCTAATCTTTTTGACTTTTAGAGCCACAAAATAATCATCCTTCTGTCTCCTTTATTATTTTTTATTTTATCATGTCTGTATCATATATAAATTACATATTCAAAAAATAAAATAGAATTTAACCGAATTTTAAAAAAATACAAAAAAATATATTTTTTTAATAGATCTATTTTTTTTAATAAAAACCGTAATCAAACCGAACTAAATATAATATAATAAACGTTTGGTATCTATTTTTGTAAAACCGAAAGAAACGAACCGAATTATTTTCAATGCGAATTCGAATCGAATACCGAAGTATCCATCCCAAATAAGTATTACAAATTATATAATTAGCGGGATATGATTATTTGACCTTATATAAAACTTCATATTTGGATTCTAAGTTATCTAAAAAAAATTGAAAATGTGATAATTAAATTAAAAAAAATTTTAGAAGCGAGTTATCACTTTATCACCACCAAAACAAAACTATAAATATAAACATACAAAAAAAAGTTTTTTTTGCCGACGTGTCAAATCTTTAGTTATGTGGAAAACAGCAGCAGTCACTCACTCACAACATCGATAAAAATAATTAAAATAAAATAGAATAATCAGAGATTATAACCTTTTTGTGCTTTCCGATACGGTGATTTAACGTTGCCAGCTGGTTTAGTGTTGAATTTATCTACAATATCTGCATATATAATTGTGTATATATATGTAATGATTTTAAAACTGCATGAAGGCCTAGAGAGGCATGATGCTCTCTCACCCGCCACCGGAGGAAGGTCCCATGTTTGTTGGGGAATCATTCAAATACTGTTCGTAATATTTTCCACCGACATGGGAAAAAACAAATCTACAGTTGTTGTCTTTTTCGGAGGAAAAAAAAAACAAATTATTATATTCTCATAAGAAAAAGAACCCAACAGTGAGAATCTTGTTTAAAGTGATGACTGTTTGTTATCATTTGTTTTTTTTTTTTACTGTATCTCTGTTTTTTTTGGACCCACGTATCCAAAAATCGAATTTTCGTTTCATATTCTAGAAGGCGACCTCTTGTTGAAGGATTTTTGTCGAAGGATTTTCGTATTGAGTTAAAAAATTTGGCATCGTTTTCAAATCGAATCGTCCAGAATTTCCGTGGACGATATTTGTTCTAGATAACCGGGTTTTTCGAAATCGAACGGAATTTTAAAAAAATCAAAAAAATCAAAAATTTCTTAAAAAATTATAATTTTTTCTTAATAAAAGATAAAACCGAATCAAAACTAGAGCAAAGCAATGATATAATAATTGGTTGATATGTATTTTTATAGAATCGAAAGAATCGAATTGAATCATTCTCAAACCAAACCTGAAACGAATACCGAAACATCTACCCTGTTAGAAGCACGTAATTCAATGTCTTACTTCCAAAGGAAATAATGAAAGATGATAGATACCTCGTGAATAAATTGGTAAACTGTATCAAAGAAGGAGTTCAAAGATCTCAAAGGATATCTTCAAGAACAGAGTAGTGGGTGTTGTTAACTCAGTGCTCAGGGAAAAAAGAAACGAGAATCGCAAAAGCAAGAACAGTTTAGGCATTAGCCGCTAACCACTGGTGATCATCCGGGTGAGACTCCGACCCTTCTTCCAGAGAATTCCCGGCCGAGGCTTCCTCGCCCGTCGTTCCTCCCAAGCCTTTCCAACCATACATCTTCCGCCTGGCTTCCCTCCGGGCCTCCTTCTTCGCCAGCTTCAAGTCTTCGAACCCTTTCTCAAACTTGGCTTCGTCCTCCGGAGTGAAGAAGGCTACTTCCATCTGGCCGAGCTCCTCGTACATCTTCTCCACCTTGCTTTTCCAGTACATCCCCGTCTCCGTGTCCATCTTGTGGTACGGCGTTTTCAGCAAGTACTCGTCTATCCCGCCCGCTTTGTCTATGCAACGTAGAGCATGAGTGGTCACTTTAACTCGGATATGCCGGTCAAATACATAGCTGAACAGCCTCTTCTCCTGGACGTTCGGTTTCCAACATCTCCTGGATCTGTTCTCACACCAAAATTAACGAGATTAACGGGTCAGGTCTATAAACAGATGAAACCTAATCACTAAGGATACCATTTTCTTACACAAAGGTGCCATCTTTAAGCATAGTTTGAGTAACAAACATAAGAACATGCACAAAGAAGAAACTTGCAATGGAATAGCACAGAAATTGTAGCTAAGCATAATTTGGTTCATTGATTCATGAGCAATTGTACGTGCATTGTATATCGTCTTTCTAGCAAACGGATAAAGAACCTATAAAAATCATGCCGCGAAAACCAAGAGCTGTGATAGATATGACATCTTGCTCGAGGCCATTTAAACCCTCAGATACAAGGAAGTTGAGAACTAAACAGAACCCACAAAGATAATCAAGGCACTGAAGAGAAGACAAGACATAGGATCCTTGTCAAGACCATTTGGAAGATAACACACAGTTCAGAAGAAACCCAAATCGTCCTAGAAGACTAGAAGCACAGATCCAAACATCCAATCTAGCTGTCGAGAAGGGAAAATTCAGCTTCCCTTTCGAAGACAACAACGGTGACTGAACTGCAAGCATGGAAGCTTAACCAGAAAAAAAATCTATCAAGGCAATGAAGGGAAGACATGGCACATAATCTTAATCAGCTAACAAGCAGTTCAGAACAGAAACTTGGATTTTCCAAGAAAACTAGGACCAAATTCGAGTTGAGAAGGGGAGCTAGCCATAAACAAGGTGTAATTTCAGCATCGTTCCAAAAGAACCACGAGAAACGGCTAAACTGCAGGCAACAAAATCTACCCATATCACCATCCAATTCGTAATCAGAGAGCAAAGACAACAACCATCCGGGATATTCCCATCAAGAACATCCGGATAAGGAATAGAGGCACGCACGCAGGTAGGCACATATAAACAGATATATGTAGAGATAAGAGAGAGAGAGAGAGAGAGAGAGAGACTTGTTGCCACCGTCTTCGCTGACACGGTTGCCGAACTGGATATGACGCCCGGCGAAGAGGCCGCGTTTGGCTCTGCCCATAACGATTTTGCTGTCGGGAACGCAGTTTTTGAGCTTTTCTTTGAGCCCAGGTGCCAAATTATTCTCTCCCACCTTCTTCAGCACCTTCTTCATCATCTCCTTCCCTCTAAAAGCCATCTTTTCCCCCTCCAGAGAAACCGAAGATCTCAAAACCCCTCCCTTTTCCCAAATCGGATCTGGGTTTTATCGGGGTTCCAACTCTCGGGAAATGGGTCTTGCTCGGAATGGATCCAACGATCGGGAACGATTCGAGAAACCAGGGTTTATCAACTCTCGGCTAAAGTGGCGAGGGAGGCGAGAGCGCGAGAGAGGAAGCATGTAATTTCACTCGGACATCGTGTTGTCACATATCAAGGAACAAAGACTACATGTCGTTCCCTTGGGGAAAAACAACGAGGTGTTACGAGGATAGTTTGAGGCCGTATTTGGGCCCCCGGAATACTATTCAGTACTCGGCCTGGTCAGCTACAGACCAAATTGGTAACCCAATCCAATCCCATTCATTTGGATTATATAATTTTATCGGATAAAACAATTTTGTTAATTAAATAGGCTTTAAAATTTTTACGTGATTAATCTATAAAACTTATGAAATTTAGGCCTTTTGCTTTAGTTTTTAGTTTTTGGTTTTTAGTTGTTGATTTTTGGATTTTTGGTTTTTGATTTTTGTAAATCTAACAAAAAAAAGTTTTTTTTTTAATTTTTAGTTGATTTATTGATAAAAATGACTTTTCAAGTTTTTAACAAAACTACTTTTTTAAAACTTGATTGTCAATTTTTTTTTGAATTTTAAAAACCTCAAAACCTCTTTCATTCAAAGCCTTAGTTATTAGAAAATTACAAAAATATATCTATCAATATTTAATTATTTTTACTTTTTTATGTAAAAAAACTATAGTTTTATAATATAATGATTTTGAATATTTTTCAATAATATTATAAATTATTTATATATAATCTATGGATTTGTGAGTTTTTAAGCAAAATATATTTCAAATACGTCGGGTTTGGTTATCTGCAAATATCCAAAAATTATCTAATAGAAAATACAGTTCGGATATTCAAAACTCGAATTCAGATTCAGATTTTAAAATATATAACTCATTAGATTTAAATTGGGATTGAATATAACCTAAAACTCCTGAATATCCAACCCGTATCCAAAATTAGGTGTCCATATGTGACCCTGATCTCTCCTTTTATTTTGAAAATTATGGTGAAATATAATAGTTTTCCGCTGGACAAATACATACAAAATACATCAGAAAAAAAAATGAAATTTACCCTTAAAGTAAAACTTGAAGTGTGAAATAGTTTTTCGGTTTCAGTAATCGGAATTCGATGGTTGACGAAATGGAAGATTACGTTACGTGATCGATCAGAACTGTATATTTTCAATTTCTAAAAATTATTTGTAGCACATCTTTTATTCAATAGAGATTGATACATAAATATTTAGATAATATTTCATGAGGTAAATATGTAATCAAATTTTTTTTTCTACGAGAACAATCTGTTCAAGTTTTTATGGTTTGACGAATCTCCACGAGATTTTAACATACATGTCCATTGAACATGATCAATGGGTTTAATAAAACTGAAATATTTATTCAAACGTATTTATAAATGGATCGTTTTGGATAGATATTAGATATAATTATTTGGTAGATAATCAATATTATGTTAGATTGTCTATTAAATTTTTAATACCGTTTAATGTTGATCATTTTTTTTTTTATCAAGAGAAAATCAAATATAAATATGTCCAAATATGTCAAATAAGTATGTGAACAATTAATTTTGTCTAACTAGTACCTCAACTATTTGATTATGCCAATTTAGAATCCAATTAAACTCTTAAAAATATTGACAATGTACAATTTCGAGCTTGATTTTAATTTAAGAATTTTGATTTTGTATCGCTTTTATCGTTATAATGGTATTGTTAACCGAAAATTGTTGTCTTTTTTATGTAGAAAAAATTAATGACATGTCGTAGCACGTTATACGTCATGTAATAGAAAACGATTACAGCAAACACCGTTAAGGGTGAAATTGAGAATTGACATCATAAAAGGTATGGATATAGTACAATCAAATAGGTGAGATATTAATTAGATAAATTAATTATTTAGGTATCTATTTGACATATTTGGAAGAGTTTGGATATTTATCTTTTATTAAAATTTTTAAAATTGAGTATATTTTGTCAAAATCGATAAACTTATATTTGTTTTAGAAAATCGAAAAATTCGATATTAATATATTAATTATCTCTAATATTTTTAGATTTTTTATTTTTATTTTTATCTGATTTTTCTTTCGGAGATTTAAACGCATGGACATTAAAAAAAAGTTGAACACAAGCACAAAACAATATATTGAAACATTTCCATAAAAAAATGTAAACAAATAAGTCATGATATGTATGTAGACCGGAGGTCCGCATAATTAATTGTCTCCCATAAGAACTTTGGCTCTAAAATAAATTATCATGTCGACACAATTTCAGCATCCAATCAGGTCCTTGTAATAATTTTGTATTCTCAAACTCATCATATTGTCTTTTTACTTAATTTTAATTTAGTTTTATCCCAACCAGAGATGTCGCAATCTCTACCAACCGTCAGATGTTTCTGCCCCATAATAGACGGTGCGGATCTCAGCCTGTCCGCTGTTTCAGATTCTTTTTTATGAAATAATAATAATAATAATAATAAAATCATTACTCGTTCTGCGTAGGTTTTGGCGTTACCGAACCGAACCGAACCGTTAAAACGGTATTTTTTCCGATCCGAAATCGCTGTTATTTCCTGAACGATACCATTTTTAGAGAACCGAATTTTTCTGGAACCGAATCGAACCGAACCGAACTTTAAAAATCCCGAAAAACCGAATATTTTTAAAAAGAATCTATCATTTTTTTATTAAAACCCGGAACCGAACCGAATTCATACCGAAACCGAACCGAACCGAATACAATTAAAAACCCGATTGGTATCTATTTTTGTAAAACCTAAAAAATCGAACCGATCAATTCCGTCCCGAATCCGAACCGTTTCTCGAAACGTCCACCCTACTTATGTGAACATTATATAATTTTTCAGATTCTTTTTTATGAAATAATAATAATAATAATAATAATAATAATAATAATAATAATAATAATAATAATAATATCATCACTCGTTCTGTGAAAGTTTTCTTGAGCTTTTGTGGAAGAAAACATTATATAATTTGGCGTTTGAAAAAGATTATTCATTTATTAAAGTACCCAAAGAAGAGAATATGTAAATGGAATAAATACATAAAAAATGCTTTCGGGATTCTTGTGGGCTTCAAAAGCGTTGTTCTTTCTCTCGTTCATGTTCTAATTTGCAGGTAGGAGATTGCAGAAAAGCAGAGAGGTAAAAGCCTGGATTTTGCATTCGTGTGTCGATGATTGCCGATGTGGGTTTAATTAGTCGTATTGAACCGTGTAATTTTACTCTCTGAATAATCCGAACGGAGTTCTCGATGAATTTCTGGGTATCTTCGATCGAATTTACGGGTTTTTTGAAATCTGGGTTTCTAATCTTGCGGGAAATTGTGATGTTGTTCATGATTCTGAAAGTGATGATGCGATTCTTCATTAAGTTTCCTGTTTCCGGGAGAAGAAAGGAATCACTGTTTCTGATCATATCTCTGTTTTGTTTCCCTTGAATCACTTATGAAGACTAAAGTTATGATACTGATGATGATGATGACAATGATGGTGATGATGATGATGATTTCAGAGAAAGTAAAGAAACTGGAGTTTGTGCATAAGCCCTCATTGTTTCTCCTCGTTTTTTGTAAATATTTGGTTTGTTTCATGATGGTTTTTGATGTTGCAAAGATGATTCTATCCTCAAGAACTGCAGATCTGACACTTCCCCGTAGGGGATTTCTAGAATATTTGCTTCTTTGTTGATCATTTCAGTCCATGGTGAAAAGATTAGCAGTATAATAAAGCTGTAACTGATGATAAACTTGTGCATATTTACAAGTCTTTTTGGGAGGGATGCGTAGATTTGATGTAAGGACATGCTTTTCCTCGTAGGATTTTGTTCTGCCGTTGCTTGAGTACCTTGCAGAACATATGTCCGATTTATATTTCTTGAACTGCAGCTGGAAGTACATTAGTTTCTGATTACATAAATACAAACATTATGTCTTGATCTTTCTGCTTGTGTTTCTTACCGTCTCCTCGTTATCATCCTCTTTTGTTGTTGAAACATGGATCTTGTGAATGGTTCTTGATCTAGCAATAGAGTAAATACTGTTGCTACTATAATCTACAACTCAAAAAGAAGTTTCAATTGACTAAGAGACTGTTATTTTCTTTTCAGATATTGCCTGCCATTTTTCCATGTTCATGGATGGATGCTCGGGTAAAAGAGCCAGTGAGAGGCAACCCGACACTAAAAAGGGCAGTGGTATTATTCTGAGGGACAGATTTAACAGTGGTTACAACAATGTTCCTATTTGCAGTAGAGACGGCTGCATTATGGGAAAAAATCCCATGAAGGGTACCTGGATTGGCTCTACAAATAGAAAAGGTAAATCTGTGTTGTCTTCTTTCTGCTCTTCATCAAACGGGAAGGAAATAATCGGAACCTCCTCTAAAACCCGTGGCTCCGCGTCCACTTCCACAAAAAGCGAGAAGAAACCGATGATACCTCAGATGGCCATGGATTCATCGGATAGTAGTAGCACTAGCAGTGAAGAGGACGAGTCAGTGGCACGAATCTTGGATGTACACAAAAAAGGGTTTCACCGTAGACTTGGTTCTGGAAATATAATTCATGAAAAACATGAAACTACTGGAGCAGAGTGTTCAATCTTGACATCAAGTTTGAGAACAAGGAGAGGGTTTAGACCGAGATTTGGATTGAACGATCAAGGTTTTCGTGCTGGTCCCTCTGGCCAGGCACCATCAGCAAACACAGTAAGCAGACATGGTCTGAGAAACCGGAGCTGCAGGTCGATGTTATCAGGCGTCATCCCATCTGGCTTTGGCTTGGAAAAGAGACCAAGTCATGCGAGAAAGTCTTTTGGAGAAAGCAGTTCTAGCTCCTCTAGGGGAAAGAATATAACTGAACCCCCAGCACAAAAAAGATGTTATGGCTCTAACCTGAGAGTCTCCATTACCGATAATAGGCGTCCAAGAAACTTTGTTTTGAACAGCAAGAATGATGTTACTTCAGTTGGGACTCGGAGATCAGTCATCGGAAGCGATGCTAGTGCTAGATTCTCCACCCGAGAGGCTGGAAGACGTGGTCTATCCTCCATTACAATACCAGAAATGTCCCAGACTGAAACCTCAACCCATCATGATTCTCCTGTCTCTTTAGAACTGTTCCGTGGTTTTCGAGAAGTTGGGTTCCATGGTTCCCTAATGAGTCAAGACAATTTCCATGGTTACAATCTAGATGGGATTCCTGAGGTATTATTTCTTGTATGCTCAAACTGATATATGTCTTAGCAAATGGATGCTTTAACACCATAAGCTTTTGTGGTTTTCTGTGCTTGAATGCTTCTGCAGATACTACCAGAACTTGACAGGATTGAACGAGATATCGAACTTAATTATGAGGTGAAGCTAAACATTTGTCTTTTGGTGTTCTCTGTAAACGCGAAGTGTATTTACTCTTGTTTTCCAACCATGTTGCAGGACCTGCTTGTTATAGAGACAGGTCTACTACTTGGTGGCCTGAGCTTCCATGATCGTCACCGAGACATGAGGCTAGACATCGATAACATGTCGTACGAGGTATGTGTTGTTTCACGAAAAGATAACCATGTGTAAACTATATGAGGGTTAACTCTTTTTTGTCTCCTCTTTCAATAATTACAGGAGCTATTAGCTCTCGAAGAGAGGATTGGTTCAGTGAGCATTGCTCTCTCTGAAGAAGCAATATCAAAATGCATGGAAAGAAGCATCTATCAAATAACAGTTTCAGATAATGTCTCAAAGGATGATGCTAAATGCAGCATCTGTCAGGTTTGTCTTTGTCATTTTCCCCTTTCCTTGTTTAGCTGGTAACGATAATGTATAGACAAGTATAAGATGGAAAGTTAAAAACTCAAGGTTAAATTAAATCTGCAATGGTGAAAGTGGAGCCTTGTAGTCGTAAAAGAAGATGAATGAAGCAGAGGTTTAGAACAAAGTGAATCATGGACCGCTCATTTGTACATCTTTTGATTACATGGAAGTTATGGTCTCTGGTTAACAGGAAGAGTATACAGAAGGAGATGAAGTTGGGAGGCTACACTGTAAACATAGGTATCATGTGGGTTGTGTACAAGAATGGCTGCGGCTGAAGAACTGGTGCCCTATTTGCAGAGCTTCTGCAGAACCCTCTTCTGAATAACTGCCATTACATTCTTCTTCCTCCTCATAGTTTGGATTTCTCTAGAGCCTGTGAACAAAGATGTCATCTTCTGTACATATCCCTTTCATTGTACTCACAAGATTCCTCCTGTGTTTCAGTCTTCTTGTCTGTCTGATGAACATGATACATGACAAGTTGTAACATTGGAAACACATGTCTCTTTGCCTGTTTCCTGTTGATATGGCATAAAATCAGGGGTACAAACTGGAACCCTTGATCTGTATGAACAAAATACCATATGAATCACTTGGAAGTTGTTGAAAGCAACAAAGATTGGTTGTTTGGATCTTTGCACCGGCAAATCTGTTGTGTCTGAACCGATACTGGGTCTATGAATGTCAGGACATCCCAAAGTTTTTGTGCTGTGATCTCCATAAGATACATAGAGGATGTGGTGTTGGTTGACTATACATCTTCTACACACCTGAAAATGAAAAGGCCAATAGAGATTATTTCCGACGACAGAGATAAACATGTGTAACAACAACTGGAGAAAACAAGAAAACATGAATTCTTTCTGAATCTCAGAGACAAAGAACTGCATGATTTCTAGATATGTTTCAGAATGCTTGCAAGAGCTGTCACATTTCCAGAAAACCAGATGCTGCAGAACCGTAGAAATTTACCTTTTGGTTTCCGGTTCTGAAGCCTGGAACCCTCATGATGAGTTTTCTGGATTAAATAGCATTTCAGCTCACAAGTTCCTTCACCTGTTGCTCGTCCAGGTTGTCCACAATGCCTTCGAGCTTGAGACTTGCCCGAAAATGGCACCTATGAAACCCTGCTGAAGCTCATTGGTTAAGCTACAAGCATCTTCGGCTCATTGATGAACCTGACTGTGTTCACCTGCTTCTGCAACTCTCTCAGTGGTGTACTTGCTTACATGGTCGGCATTAACCTCAGGGCATAATCAACACAAACTGAGAAGAGAAATCAATCAAAAGCAGCAACACAAGTTCATAACCCATAACTATGATTCAGTCAGAGTCACTTAAAAAGCCATCCGCTGGCCAATCTGACAAATGTTCTTCATTCATGTCGATGTTTTCATGCATGATGGATCACTTCTCTGGGCAATGGTGAATGGTATAAGAATATATATATATATATATATATAAAGGAAAACTTGCAATGCCGATTATCGCGCACAAGAGACAGACAAGTCCTGGGGGTCATTGAAATTAACTCTTCCATTGAAATGAAAAACAAAAATGCAATATCAAGTGGATGTCAATGCACTATTGTAAGAGAAGAACCCAAAACCATTCTAAGACTAGGTTACATACAGAGCAATACTGCAGCTATTACATGATTGCATTGCACCTTTCACCAAGCTAAAGCACAGTAGCCCCTGCAAAACTTTCTCAGATTTCGTTAACGGCCGAGGGTTACACAGAAAGCTTGAGACTTGCAGGGATGACCAAGGGACAGGACAGCTAATCTTACAACATTGCAACAAATGGCACGTATTCACTATGTTCCAAACATGCCCTCTTAGCTTGGCTGCCGTCGAAAATAATCTACTAGCCTCAGCCTGTCCCGAGTCTGTTACTACCGGAGAGAGATGTGCTTTTTTGGCACAGAATGCAGCCGTCTGGTCCATTATGGATGCACAAAGTTATGAATCAGTCATGCATCAAAAAAATCAGCCACTGAGTTTAGGACCTTGGCTTAGACAATTTGTTACGTCAACGTACAAATATTCCTTCACACCCCCAATTCTTGTTCATCAAACAAACGCATGCAAATTCTCTCCCGGAGCAACGGCCAGTCTTCGCCAAGTTGGTGTGGATTTAACTCCATTGCAACTCTAAAATCGAGCAGAGACACTGAATGCTGCTGATCTTGTGTTGTGTCCAAAGGTCCGTAGCTATTTTGCAAATGGAAGTTATTACTCTGACACACTCCATTTACAACCTTGTTCTGAACGTGCTGATTGTCTAAAATTTGTTTCCTGGGCATTCCGCTCTTGGACCTAGCTCCAACCAAGTCGATGCACGACTTTATCAGCTTCTTCAGGTAAACGTCCAACATGTTGTTCAACATATTAGCACACTCCAACGAAACTCCTCCAAGACCCTGTGCTACTGCAATATTCTCCATCCGTTTTCTTAGCATCTCTGTATCGGATAATCCACCACTGTCATAGCAACTAGTTGGGTTTGGACTGGTGGAAGCAGTTCTGCGGGCCCCACCAACGCTAGCTGAACAAAATGGAATCCCTAGAGGTGCAACTAGAGGACTTCTCCAGAGATTTAGTCTAGCGTACTTCTCTTCCTCTTTATCACCTTTGGTAACTGTCGTAGCAACCTGGTCTTTACTTGGTATACTCGGTTTTTCAACAGGACGGAGGAATGAACGGTCACTTTCATCAACAAATCGGCTTGCTCTATGATAATCAGAATGACCCAAATCCCCATTTTCCATGTTGATAGTACCACTATTGTCCTCCCTACTCACGGGCTGATGCAACAGACTTTCGACCTTCCCGTTTGGCCCTAGAGGACTAGGCCTGTCCCTGGTCTTCCAGTGTTGCATTACAGACCTAACTTTTCGTGTAGACATGGACAAAACCCCGTTTGAACAGACAAGGTCATTTTGGCTATGGTTAGGGAGTAAAGACCCGCTATGTTCTTCTCTGTTAGGAGAACTCTGAACAGTTTGTACCAAAGGTTTGGCAAGGTGACCCGCAACATGAGCTGGAGGTGGGGACTTAGCCAGAGATGCATTTCTCAAAATCGAACGGATCAACTGATTGTGTAGAGGGAGATTCTCCCTCCCTAACAGCCTGTGACAAAACTTATCAAACTCACTCTTAGTAAGCTTACGACTCAGAAACCTGCTCAAGTAATAAAAGTACCTTCTAGATTTTTCAACCCCAATCTTCTTAACAATCAGGGCTTTCAGCTCACCCAGATCAATCCTAGAGTGCTGAGGTCGCTGCATGGCTGTTCTCACAACACAAACTCACTTACCATCCAAAAACAGAAATGTTCCTCTTTCTCTTCCACAACAAAACCAAATGTACAGACAGAGAGTGCACAAATCAAATGCACCCCCTAAGCTATTGTTTATTATCCTTCAATAAAACTTTTATTACTCATGAAATTCGTCCCTCCCCAAATGCAAATCACAAAAAGCACATCTCAAGAACTCGTCAGGGTTTGAGTACGGACAGCTCGAGCTTTAGAAAGATTGAAGCTTTTCTCATTTTCAGACGACCCCAACTCCCAAATCCAGAAGCCGGAAAAGCCAAATCTCATCTCCCCAAAACCAAAACCCTAGAGATCATATCTACTATCCAGCTTACACCAAACCCCCCAAATTTCATTTCAGCTGAATCAGTACCGCAATATGTTCAAAACCCTAGCTCCGAGTAATCAAATGATGCCCTCCAATGGAAGAAACACCCACGACCCTTTCGCCAACTTCACGAGCGGGCAAAATCACGAAACTGCACCAAAACCAAAAGAAAAAAAAACCAACATTTTAACGTCCGATTCGGTAGCTATAAAAACTTCAGAACATTCGAAATTTAAGTGAAACAAATTGGGATCAGTCAGTTCCAACAATTTGAGCTTGGGAACAGAGCAAACAAAAGAATTGCCTTAAAAAGGTCAAATTCGAATTGCGGTTTGAAGAAAAGGGCCACGAGGAGCGAAACCCAAGCTCGTAAGCAGAAAAATCAAGTGTTGAGAGATTGATTGAAACCTAACCTCAGTAATACCGACCAGAATTTCAGACAGAAGGAAAAAGATCCCGAGACAGAAGAAGCAACTTTCCCGACCAACACCGATGATTCCTGGCTCTTCCTCTGCTTCGCTTCGATTAAAAACTCGGGTTTGGCAAAATTTTGGTTCTTAGAATTCGCAGTGTCTCCGTTGATGGGTCGTATTGCTTTCGGATTTGAATGTCCGAGCTTTCGCTCTTTTGTGTTAAGCTTCGATCGCTGCTTATTGGGTTTTGTTCTTCTTCCTTTTTTTTTTGTGGGCGTGTCTCTCTCTCCCCTCTTTTTTTTTCCCCTCTGCAATGCAAACGTGTTTTTTTTTGCGCTTTTTTTGTTCATCTATTTTTATTATTATTAATATTATTTCACATTTACTTCGTTTCTCATGCGTTAATTACTTGTTAGTGTTATTATTTTTGTGGTAAATTTGTTTTTTTAGTTCGTTCAACATTAATAATTCATCCCGAAATTATTAAATAGCATAACATACCATCTATATTTCACCAATTAAGATTTAAAACAATATATAAATTATATGTGTGTATATATATATATATATATATATCAGTGTGCGTTCGAGACACCTTATGATCTCCTTCGTGATGTCATTTCTTTTGTTGGTGATCTATCTCGCTGGTTTTGTTTTTGTTCGACGTAGTTGTTGCATGTTCATATTACGTTTACATGATTAATAATACGTTGGATACAGATACAGTCATACATCAAATTTCAATTATATTTTTGTAAAAACTATATTCATCCGGAATTCATATTGATTTTAAGTTTAGGTTTAATTTCATTCAAATTCGACTCGGATTCAATTTTATTAAAAATATTTATTTCCTAAAATGCAGTTATATATTTAAAATTCCAATTATTTTTACAATATGGTTGGCCGGATTGCACTTTGATTCAATTTGATTTGATTTAATAAAAAGGTACATAATCATTTTGAAATTGAATTCGATTCGGTTGATTGATTTATGTTTTATATATTTGGATCAAAATATGTATCCATAATACTTAATGGAATTACTGTGAATTACAACTTTTGTTGAAGGCTTGAAAGAACACTTGGCTTAAGCTCTGATTTCCGAGTAGACCAAGTTGATTGTGTAAAGAACTTGCTATTTAACATGTCTTAATTAAATAATTTATCTGCTTGTAATGAGACGGACATGAACTAGGAAGTTATTATTTACATTTTCTTATGAATTTTAGATACTAGATCAATCACTGCATGTAATTAAATAGCTGTAATATTTTTTTTTGTAACGAAATCATAAACTTAATCGAGAAATCTTATATTATATTTCATGTGGTGTTTATGTTTTCAGTTCGTTAAAAGACGTAAAAAATGAAACGTAAAAAATAACTCCATTTTTTGTTGAATACTTATGTTCTAGATTCTCAAGATCTATTATTTTATACATTTTTGAAATGACATTCTTTTGTTTAATTGAAAATTTAAATGTATAGACACCCTAAAAATTGTAATTAGGAAAATTAGATATTTTATTTTTCACATTCATACTAAATCAATTAGAGGAGAAAACATGAGACATCCTTTTAGACTTGTTCATACAAACTGAAATTAAACATATATTAAGACCCAAATTGATCGTGGTCTGATTAAGTTCGAATATTTCGAGTTTTGTTTTGATTATATTTTATCAGATAGTTTTTTATTTTGTAAAATTTATATGTATTGGTTTTTATATCTAATTTAGATTTGATCCAATTCATTTTTGTTACAAAAAAAAATTTAAAAATTAAAAATATAATTTTCATTGTAACTTTTCAATTATTTTTATATTTTATTTATGTTTGATTAATATAAAAATTTAAAATATGTAATTAATATATATATATATATATATATATATATATAAATTATTCATTTCAATTTTATTATCTGAACCAAAATATTAAATTTTAAGTGAGAATAAGGCAAATGTTTTTTTAAAATAAAATAAAAAATCACACACACACACTATAAGTTAGTTAGGGGTGGCCAAAAAACTCGAAATTCAGCTAGCCGATTCAACCCGTGAGTTAGATATCTAAATCTGGATATCTAAACACGATGAAACTAGGTATAATGTTAAGAAAAATCCAAAATTTAGATTCGGTTTTGGATAATGAAATTACCTTTGGATACTTGGAGGGTCATAAATTTATAATTTTATCCCTAAGTTTTAATTATATTATATAAAAATCTAAAACTAAACTTAATGTAACTTTCAATATATAATTTTTTATATCCTTTTATTTATTTTTATCTATTATATTATAAAATTTTTATATATATTAACTATAGTTTAAATTATTATATATAATATATATTATATTTTTTATTCACACATTACCAAAAAAATGAAGAATTCTATAGAAATTGTGTTTGAAATGATGTGGAAAATTATAAGGATGAGAGTATAAAATAAAAGGGGAACTAAGTCCCTTGTTATTATAACCATTAATTTACAAAGGCACATGTGAATATATAGACTAAGTGAACCAATGTCTACTTGAATGAAAAAAGGGAAGAATATAAAAATAAAATATTTACAAAGTGGGATAAGGAAGAAATCATTTAGGAGTATCTTCTAAACGATCACATGATTGATGAGTGAATGCTGACCGAGATTGATTGATGATTTACTCAACTTTTCCTTATTTGTTTAGTTGATAATGTGCCAAGATTGAGGAGCCACATCATAAGGAAAGCATTCATCTTTCACGTTGAATGTGTGCATGGATTTGCATGACAAATGTTTCTTCTCTTTGACATCTTCTTTTGCATTCTTTGTCTTCAACAAAAAATATATTATATTTTTGTTAAAAATTATTTTAAAATTTTTGGTTTGGGTACTCATGGATATCCGATGTTTGGGTACCCGAACAAATCGAATTCAAGTTCGACTAATATAATATGAAAAATTGGGGTTCGGATTCAGATAAATTCGACCCGATACCACCCTGAATTGAATATGTGTGTGACAACGTGAATAAAAAGGAGAGGCAAATGTCAAAGGGAAAGAAATGCCCTTTTTGGAAAATTGTGTACTTAACAAAACAACCAATCAGATGTCAGAACATCACACATTCCGTAAAAATCACTTCAATCCCATTGGTGAGTTTTCCGGATATCTTATTGCGCACGTGCACACATACAACTTTATATCTTAAGATAGCTATATATATATATATTTATATATAAAGACATTTCAAAATAGATATATATACCCTATATTTTTTTTGAGAATGAAAAATTTATATATACCCTATATTATAATATAGATAGCATATATATATATATATATATATATATATATATTAATTAAGAAAGAGTTTTGATGTTATTGTTAAACGGTGTAATGCTGCTGAATCGTGTCGATATCGAGTCCTTTGAGCTTCACCACTGACTCCACGTGCCCCTTCAGTGTATGCAGCTCCCTCAGCCTGTAGATTTTCCATGTACGAACAACACATTTCATGTGTTGCAATTAGAGATGGCCAAAGAATCAGATATTGCAGGTGCTATATATATGTGTGTGTGTGTTCGTGGTGAGGAGGAGGGTATATATACGTACCTGGCAACTTCAGCCCGGCGCTTGGCCTGCTCGGCTATCTCTGAGAGTTCTCGGTAACTGTTCTTGTCGCTGAAGACGTTGGCTGCGTCTGCAGGTTGAAGTCCATGAAGTGTTCTCTGAGCTGTGGCCCATTGTGCTTCCCTCTCCTCTTTCCCATAATCTTTCTTCGTCGTGAATGCCGTCTGTGTTCATATATATATATATAGCAGCAACATCATCAATATACAAGTAACATTTCTAGTTGCCATTCCTATATATACTCGTGGATAGATAGATTCTCACGCCATAGCCTCGTCAGTACGTACCTTGTTCTCGAGAAGGTTGTTCCATGCTCTCCCGCTTAGGACGTATCGGATGGCGAACTTGAGCAAGTCGAGAGGGATATACGTCACAACACTGTAAACCCATATCACCCCTGCCCATCCCCACCCGGTTCCTTGTATGCGAGCAAAGCTCCAGTTCGCGTAAACCGCTATGAATGTCGCTATCTGCAAATACATATATACATAAATCCGCTTTCTCTGGTTTCTGTATCCGTATTCGTTGTGATAGTCTTAGGGTAAGAATGACGTTTTCGTTTACCAGCTGAGCGACGACAAAAGCTCCGAGCAAGAGAAGTCCAGGACGTTCAACGTAAGACCAGCTTCGGGATCTCGTCACAAAGATGAGAGCTTGGCTGATAATACTCACTTGCAGATACAAAGCTGCATTCATTTGCTCAGGATGCTCCTTCAATGGTCTTACCCCGAATTTCTCCTGCATAATCCAGAGAACAAGGTTTAACATCAAGTGAATACCGTCTAGCCTTTTTGTATATAGAGAGATCAATACAAAGTCTATATATATATACCGAGAAAAAGTCGGTATCTTTCATCGCCCAGAAGAAGACGACGGTCATCAAGGCTAAGTAGCCTCCAAGAACAATCCCGGTTGAGAAGATTTCTCTGAGTTTCCAACTGTCAGGCTGTGGAGATGGCTTCACTCTGTCCTTTGATATTGTCATGATTGTTCCTATAATAAAGCATAGGTGAGCGTTAAAACCGTTTTGGTTATTATGCATAAGAATAGTTATATCATCATCTCGAATGTCTGAAAGAGCGATCTTACCGTCGTTTAAGATCGCGATGATTAGAACCATGAAAGGAGCAAAATCAAACTTCCATATCAATGCAATGAACATGAAGCCAAACTGTGAATCATCACATAAACTTGGGTTAGGATCAGAACCATGAAGTGACCCTGGATTCCACGAATTTCAGGTACACTTACCACGATACGTATAGTGATGGAGACAGCATATATCTGCAAACCATGATGAGGAAATAGATTCAGTTAGTCATTGTGAATCTTTGACTGGATAATATCACAGCAAAAGGAGATGTGTACAATGAAATCTTACAGTGTAATTCTTCATTCTCTGGAATATGGCTCTGCTTGTAAGTACTGCACTGATGATAACACTCAAACCGGGTTCCGTAAGAACAATATCAGAAGCACCTCTTGCAGCATCTGTGGCATCTGCAACAGCTATACCGATATCCGCTTTCTTAAGGGCAGGGGCATCGTTCACACCATCACCAGTCATTCCACATATGTGCTTTCTCTGTTGAAGCCTACTTACAATCTCGTACTTGTGTTCTGCACATTTTTTTTGAACCAGAAAATCTATCAGAAACCCGAGATTCAAGACAGAACCTGCATGATGTTGTGCCTTTGTGAACTTCGGACAATACCTGGAAACACTCCTGCGAATCCATCGGATTTCTCTATCAACTCATCAACAGGAAGTACTCCCATGGAGGAATCTTTGTCTTGTCCAAGCAAAGTGGAAGAAGGATACATGTTCGTTCCCATCCCGAGCCTTCGACCAGTTTCCTTGGCAATTGCCAGCTGATCTCCTGGTCCAAGAAGATGAAAACTATGTCAAGAAAATGAAGCGAAGAGATCAAGAAAAAGGGTTTGTAAGATTCTTTCTTACCAGTTATCATCTTAACATTGACGCCGAGGTTTAGGGCCCTTCTGATTGTTTCAGCACTGTCGTGTCTGGGAGGATCGAAAAGAGGCAACAGGCCTACGAATTGCCAGGGGCCACCAGGACTGTCCTTGTTCTTCTCGGGAACTTCCTGCAGCAAATTCGATTCAATGGATATGATTAAACAACAAGAATAAGAGATTTTCTAATGCATCAATGAGAGTTTACATTGTTTATAATTCACGAAACCTGTCTTGCAACTGCCAGAGACCGAAGCCCGCGTTCAGCAAATTTATCAATCACTGCATGGACTTTCCTTCTGACATCTTCCTTGCAGTTGCAGAGATTTAGAATCTGGTAAAGGTAGAAAGGAAGTCCATTGACACCATCAGTATAAAACCCTGAGAATCTGGCAACATATAAAACTGAACATCAATGGAAAAGTTTGTTGGAAAGTGTGAATACTTGCTCTGGAGCACCTTTGCTTGCTCGGTGCCAGTTTCCGTCAGAATCTATATATGTCAACGCAGTTCTCTTGTCGACGGGGTTGAAAGGGAAGAAATGAACCTCTCGAATACCAGCTCGAGCCTGTAGAACACATTCAAAAACTTCAAAAGCCATATTATAACTAGTACAGATTGAAGAAGACCATACCTCTTTGGGATCTGCAAGCATACCAACAATGGCAGCGTCAATGGCATCCTGATTCTCAGTCCTCGAAGCCCTAGCCGCCAAAAGGATGACATGTTCTTTATCCACACCTTTGGCAAACACGTCAATTAGGTTTCTGTCCACTGTAAGTTTGTTCAGTGTCAAAGTTCCTGTCTTGTCACTACAGAGCACATCCATGCCCGCCATTTCTTCAATGGCAGTCATCCTCTTTGTGATGGCACCTTGCTGAGAAAGCCTGTGAGAACCAATAGCCATGGTGACTGACAGGACAGTAGGCATGGCAATAGGGATTCCTCCGATGAGAAGGACGAGTAAGTTATCTATCCCGTCTCTGTACTTGCGATGCTGTATCGGGTACATCACGATGAGCTCTATGATGATTCCAACAGCAATGGAACATATGCAGAAGTTACCGATGGCTGTAAGAACTTTCTGGAAGTGTCCTACTTGATTTGTGCTGTCGACAAGATGAGCAGCTTTACCGAAAAAGGTATGAACACCCGTGGCGATAACGATTGCCTCTATCTCTCCTTGTTTACAGGTTGATCCAGAGAAAACTTCATCCCCAGGATTCTTATTTACCGGAATGGATTCTCCTGTAAGGGCAGACTGATCGACCTTCAAAGGATCACCCTCGAGTAGACGTGCATCAGCCGGTATTATATCCCCCAGTTTTACACTGATTATATCCCCCGGAACCAAAATCGCCGCTTCTTGCTCGCTCCATCGACCATCCCTAAGTACCTGTAGGTGTTCAGTTTTTCCAAAGAACCAAAACAGAACAACTAAACTTTAGTGAAATCAACCAAGAACCTTAGAAAAACAGAACAACAACTTTTTAAAACACTAACCAAGACAGAACCAAAAAACAGAACAGCTAAACCTTAGTGAAATCAACCAAGAACACAAGGAAAACAAAACAAGAACCGTAAAAGACACTAACCGTGACAGAACCAAAAAACACTAACCAAAACAGAACAAATCTCACTGAAACGAACAAAGAACCTTAGGAAAACAGAACAAAACCTTACCGAAACTAACCAAGAACCTTAAGTCAAGTACAAGTAAGAGGAATAAACTCTGAAGTGGTGAGTAACCTTGGTTTTGGGGGCGAGCCCGGCCATGAGAGCTGCAGCTGCGTTCCCCGCGTTGTTTTCCTCGATAAAACTGATCGTGGAGTTGATGAAGAGCAAGCAAACAATCCCGACAAAGTCTTGCCAATCCGGAGGACGACCTCCGCCATTTGCAAGAGCAATGGCCATTATGGCAGCTGCTTCCATGACCCATGACAATGGATTCCACATAAACCCTAAAAACTTGAGAAATTTGCTCTCCTGGTTTTTCAATGGAGAATTTGTCAGGAAGCTGCAAAAAAAGCATCCAACGGTTGACAAAAGCACGAACGGAAAGCATCGAAAGAGCGAACCTTTTTCTCTTCCAGCTTGTTGGGGCCGAACAACTGAAGCCTGTAGGCTGCTTCCTCTGAAGCTAGACCTTGTTTCGTACATTTCAGCTCCTCGAACACTTCCTCCATCGGAATTCGAACCTGGAGACACCATTCCAATAGACCAGGATTCTTAAAAAACGAAAATTTTTCGGCGGCATTTCCTTGCGATTTCTCTAGAACACGTATATAGATGTGCAAGCTTACGCACGTATATATTTGGTATGTAAACTGCGGACGATGTTAGGCTTTGAATCGCTTGGGTTATTTTCTCGTTCAAGCATCAGTAATCAAATTTCATTACGTTCGTGAGGGAAAGTGGGAGCCTGAGAGGTTTGAAACTTTGGATTCTGTTAAGTTATCATCCACCGCCACAACGAAATTTTCCCAGCATCCAAACAGACTGAGAAAATATATAACTTCCCTTTTCGTGGGCGAGAAAATATTCTGACACAGCAACCAAACAGCGTCAAAATTTTTCGCTACAGAAATTCTGTTGCAGAAAAAGGGATTTGCCCTTTACATGCACCAGAAAATTTTCGACAATTCCGTTGAAAGATATCCGAGAAGAAAACAAATGACAAAGATATTTTCTCAGCAACCAAACAGAAAATATTTCAAAACCCAGACAATGAATCCTCTATCTATGCACCAAAAATTTCTTAATCATGTAAATATATAAAAATACTTCCCAGAATCACGAAAAAAAAAACACTATGATCAGCTAGTATTCTCCCGTTTCCTAACGTTTTCTACTCGCCAGAATTTCTAAAATCATCGCGTTTTCTCAGCCACCAAGCAGAGTTACAAGTGTTTCACAACTGAAACTGACGATGGCGAGAAAATAAGTTTTCTCCGAGAAAGAAAAGAAAACACGAACCAACTAAGAGATTTTCTCAGCAACCAAACACAAAAAGCATATATATCGATTTTTTCGGTGAAATCATCAACTGAACCGAGAAAACTTATTTCCCTTCCCATGTAGACAAAACGAGATATCATAAATCCCAAAGCAAAAAAAAATTAGAAGAAGAAAACGCCATGACAAGCTAGTATTCTCTTATTTCATCGTGGTTTTCCCTTTTCCTCGGCAACCAAACAAACACGAGATTTTTTTTTAGAAAAAAAGAAAACAGCCATTGCAAAAACAACGAGAAAGAAGAGAAGAGAAAATCACCAGATCAACAGACTCATTCTTGATGTGCTCGAGTCCACTCCCTTTAGCGCCGGAGGCCGCCATAGCTAGCTACTGATACGTAAAACAAAAAAAAAACACAGAGAGAAAAAAAAACGTGAACAGGAAGAAGATTGAAGGAGATGAATCACATAACCTCAGGAGATTAAAAGAAGAAGGGATGAAGGAAAAAAAAAGAGTTTTTGTTTGTTATGAATGTGGAGGGAAGGGCTCCGAAGGTGTGGCAATGGGGGTTTATATGAGGAAAGGTCCGAAAGGTGAGATGCTCGCGCCCTCGGATCCATGTGGGCCCCGCGAGCGTCTGTTTCACGCGCTCTGTTTTTTTTTTTTTTTTTTT